ACACACACACACACAGAGACACAGACACACACACACAGACACACACACACAGACTCAGAGACACACACACACACACAGAGAGGCAGACACACACACACAGACTCAGAGACACACACACACACACAGACACACACACAGAGACACAGACACACACACAGACAGGGTGACCCTCGTCCTCTCTCTCTGCAGGATCACTGTAAACGAGGTGAGGCGTTGTTGGCTCGTCTGGAGCGCTGGGTCGACGTGTCGTCAGCTGACCTCCACAGCTACGAGGTCAAAGTTCATTCTTTCTGGGCGCAGCTGCAGGACTTCTCCCAGAGGGTCAACACCACCGGACAGAACATCGACCGGGCCGTCAGACTCTACCGCTTCTTAGACCAGGTACTGATTCTGTCAGCTGGTTCTCAGCTGATGATGATGTCACCTCTTTAATCAGCTCTTTAACCATCTGTTACTAAGGTTACTTGCTGCAGGAAAAAGACTGATTTCTAACATCAATCTGCAGCTCGTAAAAAGATGTTAGTCTATATAGTGTCCAGAGGAAATAAATATTGATTTTGATGTACAGTAGTTTATTTCTACTGTTGGTTGTTTGTACAGTAGTTTATTTCTACTGTAGGTTGTTTGTACAGTAGGTCGTTTTCACAGTAGTTTATTTCTACTGCAGCTTGTTTGTACAGTAGGTTGTTTGTACAGTAGTTTATTTCTACTGTAGGTTGTTTGTACAGTAGTTTATTTCTACTGCAGTTTGTTTGTACAGTAGGTTGTTTCTACTGTTGGTTGTTTGTACAGTAGGTTGTTTGTACAGTAGTTTATTTCTACTTTAGGTTGTTTGTACAGTAGTTTATCTCTACTGTAGGTTGTTTGTACTGTAGGTCGTTTTCACAGTAGTTTATTTCTACTGTAGGTTGTTTGTACAGTAGTTTATTTCTACTGTAGGTTGTTTGTACAGTAGTTTATTTCTACTGCAGCTTGTTTGTACAGTAGTTTATTTCTACTGTAGCTTGTTTGTACAGTAGTTTATTTCTACTGCAGCTTGTTTGTACAGTAGGTTGTTTGTACAGTAGTAGTGAAGCTGGAGTTTTCACTGTAGCGGTTTCCATTAAAGTTACATCACACTCCAGGTCGTGATGTCACTGAGCATCAGCACGGCTTCCACTACAGCCTCGTACCTATGACTGAGTCACAGTAATGACCTCCGTGTGATGTCTCCGTCTCTCTCTGTTTTTTGTCTCTCTGTTCTTAGTTGAAGTTGTTTTGTGTATCAGAGCAGATGGTTTGTTGATGGAGCTTTAACACATCACCTCCTCCCCCTCCTACTCCTTACGTCCTCCTGTAGCTAAACTGACAGCTTGTATTGAGGCCAGGAGAGAGGGGGGTGAGGAGGGGGGAGAGAGTGTCAATATTGTTTTGTATGCTGGACTCTGCCTGTTGTAAAGGAGGTTGAGGGGTGGGGGGTGATGGTCTTTGTCCATATGACCCTGTACTGTAGGAGGGAGGGGTGTGTGTGTTTGTGTGTGATATGGAAATGATATTTAATTAGAAATTGATGATTTCTATTAAAATAGCCTGTCTGTATAATGGATCAGACATGAAGGTGACACAGCTGACTGACGACTGTGCTTCATCAGATCAACACACATACAGGTGTAACTGAAACATCACAGTGACCATCACACCGGCCTCCTCTCCTACATCTTCAACTTCATCCAACTAATCTCTTCTATATTTCCTCCTCTGTCCACTCTACTACAACCTTCAGAAACTCTGCCAGACCTGTTTTATTTAGTCCGGGGTTGTGTTTTATTTTGAAAAGTCTGGGGTTGTGTTTCATTTTGAAAACTCTGTGGTTGCAATTTATTTTGAAAACTCTAGGGCCGGGTTTTATTTTGTAAACTCTGAGGTTGTGTTTCAGTTTGAAACATCTGGGGTTGTGTTTTATTCTGAAAACCCTGGGGTGGTGTTTTATGTAGAAAACTCTGGGGTTGAGTTTTATTTTGAAACATCTGGGGTTGTGTTTTAGTTTGAAAATTCTGGAGTTGCGTTTTATTTTGAAAACCCTAGGATAGTGTTTTATTTTGAAAACTCTGGGGTTGTGTTGTAGTCTGGACGAACAGAAACTGAGACCTTTGTAAACGATGAGGTTTACGTCAGCCTGGACTACCAATTTTAATGCTACAACTGTCTCTGCTGTTCCTCCTTCAGAGGCTTTACTGCAGAGCAGACAATCTACTTCCTGTTTACACCGGCTTGCACATGCTCAGTGTAGGTGATGGTCATGTGACTGTTGTTTCCAGGTGTGTTAGTCTGGACGGAGATCGTTTTAGATTGAAAATGTAGTGATGTGGACACTGACTGACTGACTGACGGACTGACGGACTGACTGACTGACGGACTGACGGACTGACGGACTGACGGACTGACGGACTGACGGACTCGAGTCAGACTGTGCCTGAGGCGTCAAACAGTCTCTTCATTCACACATGACCTGATAATGTTGATGATAATTGTCCATATTCTGTGTGTGTGTGTGTGTGTGTGTGTGTGTGTGTGTGTGTGTGTGTGTGTGTGTGTGTGTGTGTGTGTGTGTGTGTGTGTGTTGATCTGTGCAGTGAAGTGACTGTAGTTTATTGTGAATTTTCCACTCTGATACACTGATGGCTGATATTGACCTGACACACACACACACACAGAGACAGAGTCACAGCATGACTCGCTGCTGTCGGCCGAAACCTCGTATCTCCACAACGTGGTTTTGTCAGGACAGAAACAGTCTCAGAGAAACAACAGCAGCTTCTGTCCAAACATGACACCTTTGTGACACAGTCAATGCTTCCTGTGTGTGTGTGTGTGTGTGTGTGTGTGTGTGTGTGTGTGTGTGTGTGTGTGTGTGTGTGTGTGTGTGTGTGTGTGTGTGTTTAGTCCAGGTATCACTCCAGTGCCAAGTCTTCCCTCCTTCCTCTTTTCACTCCTTTCACAAGTCTTTTTTTTTTTCAAGTCTTTGTTGCCATGGTGAACTCCCCCCTCCCCTCCTCCTCCTGGGACCTGGGACCGCCCATCTGCCATTCAGTCTGTGAATGAGGTGGGGGGGTGGTCTCTGTGTGTGTGTGTGTGTTTGTGTGTGTGTGGTCGGGATGCCGCTCTCTGCACAGCTCAGTCAGGCTGCAGCTCTTCAGCAGGACACACCGAGGTAAAGACACACACTTCTTTTACACAAACACACACACTGCAGTTGTTGGGAAGTAGTGCAGCTTCATCAGTGTGTGTGTAGTTAGTGTGTAGTTAGTGTGTGTTCGTAGCAGTTATTCAGTTTGATGTGATGACGGCAAAAGTTTGACTCCAGATTGATATTTGATTTGAAAACAGCTCTGCTCGTGTGTGTGTGTGTGTGTGTGTGTGTGTGTCTGTGTGTGTGTCTGTGAGTCCTCGAGCTCTCAGGTTTGTTTACATGTTTACCTGTTATCTGTCTTGTTCTTCTTCTCTGCCTTTGTTAGTGCAGTGTTGCCTCCACCTGTAGATCATCATGTTGTATTCACCACTGGTAGTTCAGGCTGATGAGAGCCAATCAGGAGAGACCGTGGCTGTGACCTCATCGTTTACAAGGGTCTCACTTTCTGTCTGTCCAGACTACAACACTGACCCCAGAGTTTTTAAAATAAAACACAGCCACAGAGTTTTCAAAATAAAATGGGTCCAGCACCGTTTCCAAAAGTCTGTTTTCGGTGCTCAAAAACACCAGAGTCATGTGCACAGGCGGCGAAAACTTAGGAAAAGAGATGCGTCTTAAAATGAAAACACAGGAATGTGGATGGAGTCTGAAAACCTGCAGGAGTCTACAGGGTTAATCCTGTATCACAGTCTGACCTCAGAATCCAGATTAAAGGTTGTGATCAGGTGTTTAGTGTTTGTGGTTTTACTTCATGTCCGATCCACATGTTGTGACGGATTCATGATCTTTGGAAACTCTCCAACAGAAGATTAAATAAAGTCGTGTGAGTTTGAGCTGATGAGGTTTCCTCTCTGTCTGTGATTTAGTGAGTTCTGTTTGTTTTGAGGCTCAGCTGATCTGGACTCAGGACGTCCAGTCGTCCTCATCTTTCTCATCGTCCTGTCCCAGGTTGGTTGTGTTCTTAGTCTCTTTGTCCTGCGATCTGTTGGGCTCTGTAATCATCAGTGCGTTCACACACTGACCCTGAACATGTTGAGGAGCTGAGAGGGAACATACATGTTCTTTATGATGTAAACAATAAAACATTTTCTCAGTGCGGCTTTTACATTATATCCTGTAGGGCTGGGACGATTATCCGACGTAATCGACGTTGTCGATTATAAAAATTATTCGACGTGGAATTTTAGTGTCGACGCGTCGTGTAAAACCACACAGGGTAAATGTTCATAGAACAAAACCGGAACTTTCTAATGGGACCGTTTATATCCATCATCTTTGGTTTACCCGGATACAGGCGCAGTGCAAGGGCTGGGACAACGCGGTGACGTAATTGAAGTCATTGACTACGTGAATGATTTGCGTCTGTGTAATCTGTTTGAACTACATGCGTCTACCAGCAGTACGACGGAGCGTGTGGAGCAACACGCGGCAAAAAGGCTCGCACACGATCCTCCAGAGTTTGGGAATACTTTAATCTTGACACCAACAGTGCGGTAGTCTGCAGACTCTGCAAAGTGCATCTGGCATATCACATGCATGACAGTCATGCACGAGCACATAAAGAGCTCATGGTGGTGTTTAAGAAATGTTTCAATAAATATTGAAATGTTAAAAAAAATTTGCGTGTGTGTGTTGGACGGGGCAAATTGTTATATCAAATGACTAACTGGAAAATAATTGCAATAAAATTACTGTTAGGTTAATAAAAAAAATAATCGTTAGATTAGTCGAATAATCGAAAAAATAATCGCTAGATTTTAAAGAATAATCGTTTGGGACAGCCCTAATATCCTGCCTCCGTCAGGCTCCACCCCCCTCTACACCAACCAGAGTGTTTCCAGCAGGTGAGAACAACCCCGAGCTCACCTGTGATAAACCTGAAGTCACTGAGACGTCAGAGTTCAGCTCACATTGTTACAGCTTCTGAAGCGTCTGCTCTGAAATGCCACACAGGAGGCGGAGCTACGTCAGTCCTGGTGGAGACTGGTTGGAAGAACAGACTGGGTGTAGGTCTCAGTGTTTTACACTAAAGAATCACCAGACCTTCAGTCCAGTCATTTGACACTGCACTGACAGTTTGGACCAGGTCCGTTCCAGTCTGGATCAGCTGGTCTGTGTACAGACTCTGATCTTCAGTCGTTTTCATGAAGATTTATGTTTGATATCTGTGACTGATGATGACATCACCTGTGCGTTGCCGAGGGAGACATACAGGTAAATACAGATCTCGGTTCACTCAGCTCCAGGTCCAGGTCTCTGTGCAGACTCTACAGTCCTGCTCAGCTCAGACGTCCCAGAGCGACCTGCTGATGTCGGCCATGTTTGTTCTGGTAGAAGGTCATGTGACATGAGGTCAGACCTTGTTGAACCCACGGACTCCAGAACTACACAGAGGAACAGAAACAGAACCTGATGAATCAAACCAGACCAGAACCCTGCACACCAGAGTCCTTCCTGTAAAGTGAAGCTGGTCTGGGAGGTTCTGGTCCTGGTCTGGACCGGACCTGTCAGACTGATGTGAAGAGGTTCAGTTGGTTCCAGTCTGGAACTTTAAAGAGCAACTGACTCAGTAAATATGTTGGTGTGTTTGAAGTCAGACCACTCCCTCTCCTCCTCCTCCTCCTCCTCCTCTGAAGGGGTAGAGAGGAGCCCTCCCCCTCCTCCTTTTATCTGGTTTTGGAGGGTTTTGACCTCCCCCCTCCGCCCTCCTCTCCTCCCTCCTCTGTGGTTGACTGGTTCCAGGACTGGAATCCTGCAGGGACACTGTCCCCAAACCAGAGCCTGTCTGCTCCTGCTCAGTCCTCCTCCTCCTCCTCCTCCTCCTCCTCCTCCTGTCTCTGCAGTACAATAGAAACCATGTTATTTTAATGAGAGTCCGGGTCGGTCCTCGTCTCTTCATCCTCGTGTTTAGTAAAAGCCTCCTGTTCACTGATGGTCACAGTCACAGCTGTATATATTCAACATATAAACATTTAAACATATAAACATGTAAACACTTAAACTTATAAACATTTAAACACTTACACTTATTAACATATGAACACTTAAACACATAAACATATAAACATTTAAATACTAAAAAATTAAACATTTCTTCTGTTAGTGAAGAATTTGTTGTTAAGACTTAAGAAGACTGTTAAGACGTTGATCACAGCTGTTTGTGTCACTGCAAGTTTAGCCTGTTGATGAAGGAGCAGTGTTTCTGTTCTGATGGATTTTAAAATGTAGTGAGTTATTGAAGCTGGGGGAACAGGGGGAAACTGTTAGCCTAGCTTAGCACAAAGACTGGAAGCAGAGGGAAACGGTTAGCCTAGCTTAACACAAAGACTAGAGGCAGAGGGAAACTGTTAGGATAGCTTAGCTCAAAGACTGTAAACAGAGGGAAACTGTTAGCCTAGCTTAGCACAAAGACTGGAAGCAGGGCACCTTTAATGTAATTTATCCTACTGAGCCTTCATCATCCTGTCCATCCTCCTCATCAGGACAGATGACTGACAGCTGACTTAATGTTTGTCCCCACCCCTCCCATCCTGTGTGTGTGTGTGTGTGTGTGTGTGTGTGTGTGTGTGTGTGTCGGCTCACTGCTCCTCTAACTGATTAGCTTGCTGATGTGTCTTGATCACAGCAGCAGCTCAGTTCCCACACACACACAAAGAGCTGACCCAGAGGCCTACTGTAGGCGTGTGTGTGTGTGTGTGTGTGTGTGTGTGTGTGTGTGTGTGTGTGTGTGTGTGAGAGAGAGTGATGGTTCATATGGTTTCATTGTCAGACTGCAGAGACAGACTGCACCTGGATGATGTGATGTCAGTTAGCTGCAGCTTCACCTGTTCTCTATGCAGGTTCACACCAGTTCAGCCAGTGTTACCAGTTGTTCACTGGAGCATGTTTTTATTTGACCTCTTACTGTTCCAGAGCATGATGGGAGATGAACATACCAGAGGATCTCTGCAGCCTGATTGGCAGTTTGTGATGTCACTCATCCACTTTGACTTGAATAGATTCAAATTGATTTGATGACTGAAACAAAAGATCCAGAAAGTTATAAATATTGATTCAGATCCATTGATCTTAAATGATTTTACACTTCCTGTGTGTTGAGTGTGTTGAGCGCCCTCTGCTGGTCACGGTACAGCCCCACCACCCAGGCCAACCTGAGGCCAACCACGCACATGACCTCACATGTTACTGTGTGTGTGTGTGTGTGTGCTGTCTTTGTGGTGAGGTAATGTGTTATTATCTGTCAGGAGGGTGAAGACTCATTCATCCCATCTGTGTAGAAAAACAGGAGGCCTTGTCTTTTATTTATAGCACACACACACACAAGCTCCTCCCCCTCCAACCTTCAACAAAGGAGGTTGGTGGTCGCCTCCTTTGTGGTGTCCACACACACACACGCACGCACGCACGCACGCACGCACGCACGCACGCACGCACGCACGCACGCACGCACACACACACAGAGTTCATCAGTTTCATGTGTGAACTAATCAGCAGATTTGTTTGTGTAACATCACCTGAACATCAGCGTCAGCTTCTGTTTGTCAGAATATGTTCTTATTTTACTGAGAGACAAAATAAATGAATAAATAAGTTAATAAGAAGAAGAACTAATGAGGTCATTTAACCTGCTGCTCAGGTTAAGGGTCAGAGGTCAACCCCCCACCCCTATGTGATGTCACATGACCTGTTCCCTCTCTGTCTGCAGGCCTATGGCTGGGCATTGGAGGGTATGCGTCACCTAGCTGGTGTCAGTATGGAGGAGTGCACGCTGCCGGACAAATGCCAGGCTGTGATTGGCTGCCTGGAGGACTACCAGCGCCAGCACCCACCAATCACAGATGCCCGTTTCCAGGAGATGAAGGCGGCGGCAGGCGAGCTGCGGGGTGAGCGAGGCCTCCGTCAGTGGAGCTTTGCCTGGTCCAAGTGTCAGGAGACAAAGAAGATGTTTGACAGAAAGATGGAGGCAGCGCTCAGGACACGAGACTCCAGCCACAGGCGCCGCTCTGACTCCACCCACAGCAGAAGCTCTATCTCCTCCAGGAAGACGCTGTCAGGACTCTGGGGTGTCCGTGAGACGTCATCCTGCTCCTGGCCCCCAGAGGAGGACACTAACACCTCCTCACCTCCTCGTAGCACATCCTCCCTGCTCCCCCTCACCTCCTCACCCATCGCCTTCACCCCTGCTCCCTCCTCTGGCTCCCCCCACACACCCCAGCACACCCCGCTCCTCCAGCGTCTGTTCCGCAGCGTCTCCTCAGAGGAGTCTTCAGACCGGGTGGATCTCTGCTCCAGTCCCAGCCTCCCCCGCCTGGACTCCTCCTCTTGCTCCTCCTCCTCTTTTTCCTTCTCTTCCAGCAGGCGGCAGCAGCTCAGGAAGACCCAGAGCTTTGACTGTCCCTCCACCCCCGAGGCGGTGCGGTACGGGCCGTGTGCTCGTGCCCTCAGCGAGCCGGTGCGCAGAGGAAACACTGGCGTATTCATCCGCGGCCTGGAGGTCAGCAGCACTGAGGCGGCCGACCACACGCTCTGCCCCAGGACGCCTGCTCACGGCTGGATGGGACAGGGGCTACGCACCCCCGGGACACCCGGCACCCCGAGAACCACTGGCAGCCCTGCAATAGACCCCCGCCCCAGGGGAAGGTGGGTAATCAGCTGGACAGATGATTTACATCATGATTTACATCCATGAGAACCAACATGGCGTCTGTTCAGGTCTGATTCATCCTCCTGCAGCAGATCATATATTAATCTTTGTGAACCTGGTCTGTTTTTCTCTCTGGGGCCATTAATTTGAAAAATCTCATTAGACATCTGAAATTTCAAAATTTCAAAATGGCCGACATGTCAGGAACAAGAAACACATTTTACCCACAGACAGATTTCGACATTTCCTCAGAGCTTCATTAGTCACTATGTTTACTTGTCCTAACATTAACTCACTAGGCTAACTCACTAGCGTAAGGCTAGTTAGCAATCTTTTTGTGAGTAATGTTTTTGCTGAAATACTTTCATTTAATTTTTTATGATGAATATAAAATGTCACTTTCTAGATTATTGTTTGATTTGACACCTGGATTATTCATGAAAAAATAGTGGATGAACTTGGTGCAAAAAATAACATTTCCTTGCCAGAAATGGCAGCCATCTTGAATTTTTGAGTGGTAAACGTGGAAAGCATTTGAGTCAGGTTTAGTTGTTTTATCCACATTTGAAAGATCTGCCTGAAACATTCAGTTACCTGCTGCTTCACCTGGGAGACAAACTAACAGCTGACTCACAGAGTTGTTGTCATGGTAATGTGTCCATTTAAAGTCTGCTCTTATTATCACATCCATGTAGGCACAGTGACGTAGTTCAACCGAAGCACCTGAGGATGACTTTTAGAAACAGTTGGACGTATTTTATTTTGAAAACTCTGGGGTTGTGTTTTATTCTGAAATCTCTGGGGTTGTGTTGTCATCTGGACGGACAGAAACTGAGACCTTTGGAAATGATGACGTCACACCAACGGGCTCTCCTGATTGGCTCTCATCAGTCTGGACTACCTGTTCCTCCTTCAGTGGATTTACTGTAACTGACCAATTGCAGAATAGACAATGTACTTCCTGTTTACACTTGCTCGCACATGCTCAGTGTAGATGACTAATCATGTGATGCGTGTTTTCATGTGTGTTAGTGTGATCGCAGCCTTCGTAGATGTCAGTGTACAACCCAGAACGTCAGACCACATTTTGTATTATAGAACAGACAGAACAGAGAGTCTGGTCTCTACCTGAGCCTGGTCTCTAACAGTTAACACTGTCTGAGTCTTCACTGAGAAGAAAGACAGTAACCTTGTTAATGTGACAGTAGCGAAGCAGGTCTGGGTGTCGATGAAAAGATTCAGAATCTTCACAGATTAAATGATTAACAGCAGATCTTCTTCTTCCAGTGAGCTGGAGACGTAGTGGTAGGAGGAGCCGTGATGAACACACCTGAGCTCACCTTGTCCCTGTCATCAGTCTGATGTGTGTACATGTCTGTGCAGTAAACTGCGTCACATTGTGGAGGAGATGGTGACCACGGAGCGGGAATACGTCCGCTCTCTGCGATACATCATCCACCACTACTTCCCAGAGATGGACCGGGTCGACCTGCCCCAGGACCTGAGGGGAAAACGCTCCGTGGTCTTTGGGAACCTGGAGAAACTCCTGGACTTCCACAGTCAGTTCTTCCTCAGGGAGCTGGAGGCCTGCTGGAAACACCCACTCAGAGTGCCTCACTGCTTCCTCAGACATGTAGGACACACACACACACACACACACACACACACACACACACACACACACACACACAGCACCAGAGGGGAGAGACATTCAGTCCTCTGATCATGTGATCAATCACAGTGAATAGAGTCACTGTTCTGATCAGTCACAGTAGAGACATGTCGGACATGTTTGAGCTCATTTAAAGGAGCTATATGTACGTTTTGCTAATGCTACATAGCTAATGTTAGCATTAGCAGCTGTTTACTGACCAGTCACTTCATTCCTTTACTCACCAACATCTGTCTCCAGAGGTGGAGACAAACACAGATGTTAACTCTTGTCTCTATCACGTCTCTTCTGATACTGAAGTTAGCATGCTAAAAGCTATCCTCCACCTGAAGCTGTAGCTGCTCACATGTTATGATAATATATTATAATTATTATTATATTATTATAAAGAGAGCGACGACCTGCTGCTGAAGAGAGACCAGAAGAAGAACAGCCTCTCTGTCAGTTACAGATGCTGCAGATGTTTTCATTGACAAACTGTTAATAATATTATCTTTAAAACTCAGTCAGTCCAGTGAACGACTCATCACATGGTTCCGCTGATCTTTACTGGGGACACACAGACAGGTAGGAGGAGGAAGGAGACACACCTGGCTCCACGTGTGAGCAGTGACCTCATACACAGCAGTGGCGATTGCTCTAAGATGCAAGGGAAGCTCTGCTTCCCCTAAAATGTCAACAGAATAAGTGGTCAAATATGTGCTGTTGTGTGAACATTTCATTGACTAAATATGCGCTAGAACACGTTCATCTTTTGTTCAGAATCAGCTACTTATCACAGGTAACCGACACGACTTCCTTCTCATTCATCCCCGCAGCGCCACAGCGCTTTACGCCGAGCGTCTACTGACTTCAGTGGGAAGCACAGAGTGGGTTGTTCCACTGCAGCCAAACTAGACGTCATTGGATAAATGCTGGGCTTTGTCCCGCCCATCAGATGCTCAGCGTCTCTGGGGGTCTATGGGGCAGTGGGCTGGCCCGGACGCTCGGCTTCTGCATGATGATTGGATGATCTGTCTGAGGCTGAGTCCCTTTTTGATTGACAGCGAAATGAGCGAATCAGCGATCTTGAAGTTTAAGCATCCACCGGAGCATTTTTCATGTTTTTCATTCCGTTGTTCGGAGTTGATCTGGAGACGTTACTGATCCTCAGCCACTTTGTCTTTGTTAAAAACGACTAGCGTTGTGTTTGGCGACTCTCTTCTGTCACTCTGCGAATTTACATATAAATAAACGGACACATTTTATGATGTAGGCTGAAAATGAGCTTCCCCTCCTTATAAGACCAGCAGCCACCACTGATACACAGGGAGGGAAACAGATGAGCTGAGACACACTGTACCAAACACCATAAATCTAAGACTTCAATCAGTTCATTGTCGTTAATAAATAAATGTGTCAGCTGTTTTATAGAAAAAAAACACTGATTAATATGTAACATGAATGTCATTAAGTCAGTCAGGATGATTGATCAGCTGATATTAGTTTATTACAGATCAATCAGTATCAAAGAACCTGTCAGCTGATAAATCCCATGATCAGAAACAAACTGTTTAAAGTTTATTTTACACTGATCACAATAAACTAAATATCAGCTGATCATCAGATTATTGAACTCTCAGGTATTGATATATGATCATCATGTATCAATCAGGTTATCAACTGATTATCAGACATTAATTAGCGGAACTGGTTAATGACCCCGTGTCTTACAGAGGAGGAAGCTGCTGTGTTTATATCTAAATGTGTATTGATCCAGATGTTGATCCGATCCAGTTGTGGTGTTGAACAGATGTAGTATTGATCCACATGTTGATCCAGATGTGGTCTCTCTCTCACAGCAGGAGCAGTTCAGTCTCTACGCTCTCTACAGTAAGAACAAACCAAAGTCTGATGCTCTGCTGTTGAACCACGGAAACTCCTTCTTCAGGGTGAGACCTCACACCATGACCTTTGACCTTTGTCCTCTGACCTCTGACTGGGAGATGTGTCCCACATTCCTTAACTCTGTCTGTGACCTTTGACCCCAGAGGAAGCAGGTGGAGCTGGGAGATAAGATGGATCTGTCGTCCTACCTGCTGAAGCCGGTCCAGAGGATGAGTAAATACGCTCTGCTGCTCACCGACCTCAGCAAGGAGGTGGGCGTGGCCCAGGAGGCGGAGCTCGTTGCGCTGCACGCTGCCACCGACATGGTCAAGTTTCAGCTTCGCCATGGCAACGACCTGCTGGCAATGGACGCCATCAGAGACTGTGATGTAAGTTGAGAGATGAATCAGACAGTGGACAGTTCAGTCATGTGACACTGCAGACAGGAAGTGATCCGTCTCTGTCTCTCAGGTGAACCTGAAGGAGCAGGGTCAGCTGATCCGTCAGGACGAGTTCACGGTCTGGACTGGGAGAAGGAAATGTCAGCGTCACATCTTCCTGTTTGAGGAGCTGATACTCTTCAGTAAACCCAAGAAGATGGAGGGAGGGCTGGACGTGTTCATCTACAAACACTCCTTCAAGGTAACACACCTCAGACCACCTCAGACCACCTCAGACCATAGACCACCTCAGACCACCTCAGACCACCTCAGACCACCTCAGACCATAGACCACCTCAGACCACCTCAGACCACCTCAGACCACCTCAGACCATAGACCTGAGACCACGTCTCATTCTAAAACATTAACATCCTGTTTGTCCTTCAGACAGCTGACGTGGGTTTGACGGAGTCCACCGGAGACAGCGGGCTGAGGTTCGAGATCTGGTTCAGGAGGAGGACGTCCAAGAATCAGACCTTCATCCTTCAGGCCGCTACGCCAGATGTGAAACTCACCTGGACGTGTGACATCGCCCGAATCCTGTGGACCCAGGCCACCAGGAACAAAGGTAGAGAGGGGCGGGGTCTGTGGCTCTGAGCTCCTCCTCTGTGATGTAATGATCTAACGATGATGTCATGTGTTCAGAGATGCGTCTGAAGGAGATGGTGTCCATGGGCGTGGGGAACAAACCGTTCCTAGACATTCAGCCAAGCGACGCGGCGATCAGTGACCGAGCCGTTCACTACATCATGAAGAGCAGAGGTAACAGGAAGTGATGCTGGTTGATTGACAGCTCAGTGTCTCTGGTACCACACAATAAATATAAACATGTTAATCACTCATTAATATTTATAATAATTCATATCATTTTACATGATGATCAATCTGAATTAAAAACTCATTTATATTTAAAGTATTTTATGGACATTGTGTCAGAGTATCTGCTGCTTACATCAACAAACCTTTGATGATGATGATGATTATAAACCTTCCTCTCTTCAGTCTGACCATCAGTCTCAGACACCAGAGAGTTATGTTTTGATCATTGATTATTCTATTATTGATCAACATTGACTGATCAGTAAAATAAGGATTGATTATTGATGTGATCGTTCAGGTGCCAGGACAAGGGCGTCCATCGCCGTCTCCGTCTTTGACCACTCCAACCCTTTTAAACGAGGAGCGGTGACCTCTGACCCCGGGACATCAGGACCTTCTTCCTCCAGTCTGCTGGGACCGCTCAACCTGCACATGTACAGGTACAATATGAACCGGTCCGGTCCAGTTCTCTGTAGTCTGATTCTCTGAACACTTTATAACCACCACCCCCCACCCCCCACCCCAGCCAACCCCCCCTCCCCTCTCCTGCAGCTGAAGGCTCCTTCATCACTTCCTGTATCGAGGAGGACGAGCAGGAGCATGAGACCAGCAGCCAGCCCTCCATGAGTACGTACAGACAGGAACAGAGATGTTCTGTTGAACAGGAGGTATCGCTCCTCTGATAAACACCTGTCTGACAGCTGATTGTCTCTCTCTCAGCCACAGAGAGCTCGGGCTCGTCGTCTCGCTGTCTCTCCGGATCCACCGGCTCCGACAGCGGCTGCGTCTCCTCCCACCTCCAGGAGGCGCTGCCCGAGGAGCCCCGCCCCTATAGCCAGCCCTCCTCCTCCTCCTCCTCCTCCAACAAACAGCACCTCAGCAGCCAGTTCGTGTCAGCTGTGAATACAGAGACAGAGACAGCAGAGAGTAGAGACTGTGGTGAGACATTAACTGTGTGTCCCCGTCCTCAGACGTCTGCTCCTCTCATCGGCCCGGCAACCATCGTCTGAGACAGCTCACCTGGAGGACGCCACTGTGAGTGAACACATACACCTGTCCTCACTTGTCCACAGGTGTGTCCTCTCAGGGCCATCTCCCCAAGCTCCAGTGATTCTACACAACACTTTACTATACTACACACTTAACTAATAAGTGTGTGTGTGTTTGTGCACCTGCATTTATTTACTTCCTGTCTTCATGTTTACAAACAGGAAAACGTCCAAATCCACTTTATTCACAATCATCCACAATCATTTACAATCATTCACAGATCTGAAGAATCCCTCAGATAAACTTTATTTAAACACAGACAGCTGATCACTGTGTTCACCTGTCGGCCATGTTCTTTTCAGTCTGTAATACACAGTCAACTGTCAGTGTTGATGATCACAGCTGTCACATGATCACAGGTTAATAATCACATGTAAATAAATGAGCGATGTCACAGGAAGGAAAACATCAATTAATACAAACATTTTTTAAACTGTTTTTATGTGTGAATATTTCTATATAATATTCTGTGATGTCAGCACAGGTACATTAAACTCTGTGTCTCTGCAGGTGTGTGTCCTTCCTGCTGCAGTGTGAACCAGAGGACGGAGTCTGGTCAGCTGATTGTGTCTGAGTTAAATCAGCTGTTGTTGTTATTTATGTGTTTGTGCAGGTTCGGTAGTTTGTTGTGTAAATAACTGTTGGAGTTTCTGTGTGTAGTTCGACTCCTCACAGCTGCTGCTTGTTTCTGTTATTGAGCTGGTCCAGGATCAGCTGGACTCTGTACATGTGTGTAAATAAACAGCTGTCACTTTTCTTACTTGAATAATAAACGAGAGTTTGTTGAAACGAACACGTGGCTTCAGTGTGATGTTTGTTGCCTCGGTAACCAACATTTGAACCATAGTCTCTGTTTATCTGTCACATGTTAAACTCATCAGACGTCATGTGGCACTGATCTGAGATCAGCTGATTTCTCAGTTGGTAGTTTTCCTTCAGTGTGGAAAGAAGCTTCTTCTTCATCCTCTCCTGAAACACAGTCAGTTTATATCAGGTCAGACTGTGACTGTAACATCTGGAGAATCAGGACATCTGGACTGATCAATAAGCTTCATCACACTGATTCAATAAATCAGTTGTTCATTGATTCACTGACTGATTTTCTTTTTCCTGCTTTTTTTTTTGTTAGAAACTTTCAAAAAGTTTTCCCACCACATAAAGAACCTCTGACACAGAACCAGAACTTCAGGTGTGTGTGTCTGTAGCAGTGAACCGACTGAAACCTCAGAGGCTCAGAACCAGACTGGACCGGGTCAGTCTGTGTCACTGACCAGGAGCTGTTCAGTCCTCTCCAGTCTCCTGAGCAGAACCACTTCACCGTCCTGTGACGTCCTGTGAGTCCAGCACCACCCCCTCCTCCTCCACCTGCAGCAGCTCAGACAGGAGGTCGTACGCTCCACCTGCACAGACCTCAGGTCAGATTCACCCTCCACTCCACAGACCTCACAGAACAACACAAAGCCGAGTCAGCAGGAAACAGTTTCACCAGGTGATTCAGTGATAGAGAGGGAAGATTATACAATTATTCTATTAATTCATTGATTTACAGAAAATGAATCATTAAAATCATTTTCTAAGCAAGACATATCAGCGTTGATCAAACTTGTAAAAAGTGAAGATGTTAACTGTTGATCATCTGAAGAACTGAACTTTCTCTAAACACTTTCATTTGAACCTTTATTTTCAGGTTGACAGCAGAAAGATGAAACACTGTTTCATAACAATAATCATTTAATCAGAGAAATAAACAGATCGACTGATAAAGAATTGATCACAAGCTTCAGATAAACATCAGCTCATCGTGATGTGTCTCCTGCAGCCTGAGGGGTTTGTGGTTTACCCAGGAACTGCTGGTCTTGTTGGAGCGACCCGGTTCCGGTCCAGTGCTGGTCCACCAGCTGCAGCAGAACTCTGAGGACCAGGGACAGTTCGGACACACCGACACAGCGAGGAGACGACCTGATGCTCTGAAACACAAAGAGCTGAGGAGCGTTTCATTCAGAGCCTCCACATGTGGAAACAGCTGCATGACGTCTCCTGTCTCCACACTGTCAACAACTGGAGACTTACCAGATGCATTATGGGACATGTAGGCTCCAGGCCCGGGATGTGAGCCGTACTACAGACTAAGGTCACAGTATTACAGAATGAGTCTTAAAATCCAGCTCTGGTGTTAATATTATGGCAGCAGAGGAATCTTAGTCCAAACCTCTCTAAGAGGAAAATGTGCTCTAACTCTTAATGTGAAATAATAGAAAACAAACTGAAGTGTTTTCCCGCCTAAAAAAAACCTTTAGAAACCGTTCAAGACAGAGCTGATCCTTCTGTCTCATACACTTCCGCCTGCAGCCTCTCACAGCCAATCAGCATCGGCTCAGAAGTGCACATCCCTTTCCCTGCTCTCATTGGACAGGGCCTACGCCCGTCTTCAAAGCGAGAGTAACCAATATCAGCGCTTTCTCCGACTGAAAGATTTGCGTGATCGCGCGGGAGCGCCTCCTAGCGGCAGATCAGAACGGATCTCTGCAGGGAGACCTCCAGCATCTAGCCATGTAGCCACGAAGCTAATGACCACAATCATGTCCGCTGCCAGGGAACCGGAAGGAGGGAAATGATTCTCATGTTGTGGATTCTCATGACGACAATCTTCGTGTTGTTTGAACTCTTCATAGATCACGTCATCATAGATTTCCCTTTTGCAAGAGTTTTTTTTAATTAGTTTTTCTAATTAGTCTAAATTAGTGTAGTTTTTAAATCTGGTCAGACGACAGCTGTATTTGAGCCTCCTCGGCTTCCTTCGTCACTTCAACCTAACATCATGGCGCCGGACCAGCAATTGGTGTAGAACTGAATACACGCCATTTTTTGGAAGCGACATCCTGGTCTAAGACATCCATGCTTAATGTGCACAGACTGAGTCCTGTGGAGCCACAGACATACAAACGTAGACCCTGTATTGGCCGCTGGATCGTACGTCAACGTCTCCGCCATTTTATGTTTAAAATGTTTATGTTTAGTAAGGTGGTTCCAAACCCAATCAAGGGGAGAAAGAGGAATCCAAGAATAGCAGTGCAGGAGGCGGAAGCAACGCTCAGGCATACAGAGATTGTGGGTAATGTCCAAATAGCCCGGGATCTAGTCCTACACAACAGAACAGAACTGGTTAGGGGAGTTTGTTTGCTGAATCTGCTGGTGTGTTTTGTCCTAGTTGATGATGTTGTGTGTGGTAGCATAGGCAAGACAAAGGAGAAAATAGTGGTGGTGTGAGGAGCAGTGATGGCTGGCATTAGGGGAGTGACTTTGGGACGCCAGTGATCACTGTCTCGCCTCCTGGAGGTGTCGTGGGACCAACTAGACGAAACGCTGGTGAAAGGAGATTCCCACCTGATGACCCCAAAGACATGTTAGTTATCACTGCTCATTAGTGTGTGTAGCTGAAGTAATAGTTATCATAGGGCTTAGGATGTTAAGCTTAGGGAGCTATTCACTGAGTCTGCTCCATTTTCTGTAGCACAAGCTTCTTGTGTTAACCTTAAAATATTCCAGGGTTCATGATTATATGGAGTAAAAATAAAAGTTTTGTCTCCAGTTTCTTAGAATCACAATAGTTCAGGCTGTTATCAGTTTTCCATAAGGAGGAGTGTGTGACGTCACGTTTACACAGTGGCGCCGCAGCTACGGACTGCAGACATTTTTTAATGATTTTATTTTTTTTGTTTGTTTTTTATCATCTATCTTGAAAAGAAATCAAATGGTGGAGAGCCTTCTTTAATTTCAGCTGCATCGTTCTGAGTCTGGACAAAAGAGAGCAAGAGATAAGAGGAGTTCAGGTGTGTTGATGCTGCAGGTGTGGAGCAATGATGAACATCATATTGAAGTGATGCGGAGGCAGTTCTGAAGGAGTTTGAACTTCAACAGGAGGAATTTTGTTCTATTTCATGTTATTGTCTCGTGGTTTTTTGATTGTCTATTGCAGCAGCTTGTTATTACTATGTTTAGTAGTTAGTTATCCAGCTGTTCTTATGATGATGCTAAATGAGGGAATCTGTTGCTTCATACAGACTCACTGCACGTTTCTTATGGATATTCAATATAGTTTATAACAGTATATTGTAGCCTGTCATTCAGCTGTTGCTGCTGTTTTTCAGGCCTATTGTTTGGTCTTTGAAATGCATGTGGTAGGAGGCGGATCACAGTCTTATTGGGGTGTCCTGTCTTTAGCAGTAAAATACATGAATCAATCTCCTGCTCGTTTACTCTTGGATGAGAAGACATGTTCATGTACGGGACACCAGTGGACAGGCGGTTCTTAATTGTGTGTGTATATCATACTTAACAATACCAAAGACACTCTATAACAACTCTATACAACTTTCTCAACTGTCTGTGATAATACATCTGTGCCTAATGCAACAGACTGAGAGACCTGGAGCAGCAAACGCTCCTCACCGACCTTCAGCTTCATGCTGTTTCTCACTGGTATGAAATTAAACTGTTAAAACATCTCCAGGCAACAGCCTCCATTAAGCCAAACAAGACAATTGGTCAAAATCCGGCTTTTATAACTGACGTCATCTGACAAAATCACCAGACACATGAAAGATAGAGACTGAGCTGTAACATGATCACTCACAATTATTATGCACGACATTGATTTTGCTCATTTACCAACAGCAGCATGAAGCTCCCTTCACCTCAGCACACAGACCTGAACACAGCTGCAGTCTGGAGGGAAGGTCTATTATTCTATTTATTTAGAGAATGGCTTTTTTCAGTTTGGTGTAAAGATTAGTTGATATTTAATTATTATTAAAACCACGAGCAAACAAACCGTGAGGTCCTGTGATCTTTGTTGTCGCCTGTTCTTGTGATCAACGTAGATCAAAGACATTTGTCTCTGTGTCTCTGTGAACTGATCTTTTTTTTTTAAATCTGTTGAGTAGATTATGAGAGGGTGCCTCAGGTGTCAGACCAGGTGTGGCCCCTCCCATCCCGCAGCAGCTGGACAGCAGAAACATCCACTTCCTGTTAGTGCTGAGTGACATCATTGAGATCTGCAGAGAGAGAGAGATGCCTCAACAACAGCTCCACCTGCTGGTGAGTATGAGTACAACCTTCAGAATCTGCTGCTGGTTCCAACAGTTCCACTGGGTCAACCCCAGTCCGCTATGTTCTACATTAAGTATCAGGAAGGAAGGAGAGGAGGAGGAAGGAAAGGAAAGAGGAGGTAGAGAAGGATGGAAGGAGGTGGGGGGGGGAAGGAGGAGGTAGAGAAGGAGAGGAGGAGGTAGGAAAGGAAGGAGGAAGCAAGGAAAGGACAGAGGACAGAAGGAGGAAGAGAAGGAGGTAGGAAAGGAAGGAGATAGCGAAGGAGGTTTTCTCTCTTGAAGATAAAAAACAAGTGAACCTGATGAAAGAATCCAACACACTCAGATCCACTGATTCTTCACGGAGACACCTGTCCTCACTGAAGGTCACTCTCCAGCTCCTGATTGGTCCAGACCGCAGACAGGAGCGAGGAGGTGGGGCCACAGGACACCTGTCTGCAGGTGAGGTGAACAGCAGATATAAAGTCACAGGCCCCACCCACACAGTGTGACAGGTGATTTATGGAAAGTGTAGTGCAGACAGATGAAGACAAGAGAAGGAAGAGCAACACTTTTAAATCAGATTTGGAATCATGAATGAAATAAAACACACACACACACACAGCTGAATCTTGTCTCCTTTTTATTGGTTTTAAGATGATTGATTATTGATCAGCTGTTGGTAATCTTCTGTTGTGCTGTTCAGTTTTATCAGTTTAACTGAAGTGAAACTAATGATCATTTTCATTATTGATTATACGACAGATTTTACATGATTCAATAAATAAACAAATTAACATTTAAAAACTGTTTCACTCTGGCTTTAAAAAGACGATCAATGTTGATGATCAATAATCTGATTGATTATCAGACTGATCATTATGATTGTAAAAATGAACAGAGACGGTCGGTTGATAGAAAAAGTATTTTATTGTACAATCAGCTGTGACGCTCCAGACTTCCCAGAGCAGGAAGTGGAAGACCAACCTGAAGGTGGAGAGGTCAAAGGTCAGAGGTCACTGCAGCCATCTGATGATCAGAGACCTTTCACAATAAGAGTCTGATAACCTTTTCACTCCAAAAGTCCAAATGAGTTTTTACACACGTGAAGTTTTCTCCTAAAAATCAGTTGAATTTTCTTCAGAGCGGAAAAAGTCTGAAGGTTTAAACATCCAGCTCCTCTTCAGACCTTCATCTGTTTTCACTCAGCTCCCTCCTCTAATCAATCATCAGTTTATCAGCAGATCAGTAATCTTCACTCTCTCTTTATTTTGCATCAAAGAACAAAGTCCAAATATAAAATGTTCACGTGTAAAAAAAAAAAAAAAAAAAAAAAAAATCAGGCCTGAAGTGAAAAAGTCTGAAATCTGATTTTTAATGTGAAAAAACTAAAGTAAACTTCAGTCATGTGACTCCGTAACAAAACCTCAAAACAACAACAACATTATTATAATATATTTTGCATAGCACTGTTTTAGCAAAGTTACAAAGTGCTGAAAATAAAAAACAACAAACTTCAACAATGAAACAGAAGAAGTGAAGTTGGTTTTGATTGATTATTTCTTCTGATATCGATCAGCTGATTATTTGATTTAAGCTGATTTACATTCATTCTTTCTCTCAAATAACAAATTAATGTTCTGATCAATACTTTGTGATAAAAGCAGCTGTGTCCTCGATCGATTGATTCATATTGATTCATCAGTCCAGAGGTGAATATGGGATTCAAACATTAGAAACTAAATTATTGGTCAATTAGTAATTAAAGACATAGATATTAACTGGCAGATCAATTATTTTCCCTGTCAGTATTGATCAGTATTGACTGATTTGTGACGTTTCAGATTGTTTGCTTGTTAAAGCACCTTCATCAGCTTGAGATTAATACAATAATAATAATAATAGAATAATATAATGTAATACTGCTGAGTCTGTAAACACAACACACAGTTCAACACATGTTAAAACATCTGTTCTCTTCATGTGCAGCTGTTCACAGATGAAACTGTTGTTTACTTTTTGATCAGTTTACTTTATTCGATCCTTAATTAATGAGACTAATTAAACAGTGTAGAGTTCAGGGGATCTGTGAACAGCTGTACATGAAGTGAATTGAAATATTTCAGGTTGATACAAAAACAAACAAACAAACAGATAAAATTCCTCTGAAATGTTAAAAAAATAAAATCAACATAAAAAGCTTTGAGTGGTTTTAAAGAAAATATAAAAATATAGAAAAGCTTAAAGAAAGTGAGTCGGCAGTAAAAACAGGAACAAACAGCTGATTTCAAACTGAAGCAGCTGAAACAACGAGTCACAACATCAGGTTTCTACAGTCTGTTACTTTCTTCTTCTCTTGTTAATGATGACGCAGCACCAACTTTAATGACTTTACTAAAGAATGATCAACAGATATGTTTAAATAATAATTATTAAATATTTACTTCTTTGGGCCTTTGTCGTAGATATGAGTTAATATCTGTTTTATTCTCAGCTCTGATACTTGTTTGTACCAAAGGAGAAAATTCTGTTAAAATAATAATATTTATAATATTATAACTATGGAAACATTTTTATCAATGAATATTTAATTTTCCATTAAACTTTTTAAATGAAAGGAAATTAAACTGTCACTGAACTAAAAGTAAAGTGATAAAAAATAAAACAGGAGACGAAATGAATCAGTGACTTTAAATAACATCTAAGATGTTTAAAACAAATATTGTTTGAATCCATTTAAAATTGATTTATTGAACATTTGGTTTATTGATTTTTATCTTTGTGTTTTGCAGGATTCACAGTTTGTTTTTCTTTTTTCTCAGATGTGTTTGTTGGAACAGTTTCATTCTGTGGACACTTTAAAGACACGTCAACATTTCACCACAGAAACCTCATGAACTCCTTTAAAAGCTTTTGAACAAAATCTTTTATAAATAATAATTTTGAATTTTCATTTTCAAATTAAGTTCTTTTATTCTTTAATTCGTTCTTATCAGGCATAATTAAAAGGTATTAGAAATCTTTGAATTTAAATGAATCTATTTATGATATATAATTTATAATAAGAATTTATATTTTCTTAATTTATCACTTCATTAACTATTCATTAATGATCAGAGACTGTAACAGTCGTCAGGATGTGTCTGATGCTACTTCGTTTGCTCCTTTAAGGCTTCGATCTTTGGAAAAAAACATTTAAACATGAGAAAGTTAAAAATATAAAATATGATAAGTGAGGCTCTGCTCTTCATCTCTGACATTCAGTCTTCATCATCATCACTTTCATTTTCTTTCTTTAAAACATTTTCTGTTAAGACTCTAGGTCTCCTTCACCTGTGGAGCTGAGGAGGAGGAGGAAGAAGAGGAGATGGAGGTGAAGGAGGAAGAGATGGAGGAAGAGGAGGAGGAGGAAGTGGAGGAAGATAAGAGGAGGAGGAGGAAGAAGAGTAGGTGGAGGAGGAAGATAAGAGGAGGCAGTGGCGTGCAGGAGGTGAAGAGGCAGATCAGAGCAGAGTAAGAGCAGATGAAATCAACATGTTTGGTTCTTCATGTTTCCAAAGGTCTGTTGTTCCTCCATCATCAGGGGGAGGGAGAGGAGTCTGAGAGGAGGCTCCGCCTACAGCAGCGTACACCTGAAGAAGCTCTTCTTAGAGCGAGACTCTGTGATTTTAACTGGACCTCCTCCACCTGACGGGTTGTTGTCGTTCTGCAGGAGAGGAGGAGAAGAAGAAGATGTTCACTCTCAGGTAAGAACATGAACCAATCAGCTTCTGACATCACCAGCAGGTAGGTCACATGACTGACAGGTGTGTCCATCACTCAGACATCATGTGATTGTGATGTCACACTCTCCTGGTTCAAAACTACTGACAGAAAATAAAGAACCTACAACATCAATGTAGACGTCAACTATGACTCCCATGGTGCATTTCTGCATGAAACATCTGTGACTAACCCTGTAGAGACTGAAACAATCTTCATGTGCAGATATTGATGACGTCAGATGAGAAACATTTGCAGAATAAGGGATTGATTGAAATCGATCAATGAGGATGATACAGATCAAAACATGACATTTAAAACCAGCAATGATTTGAACTATTCCCAGTCTGGACCCAGTGCAGACTGGGAACCTGGTTAGATGCAGACTCAAGACTCAGCAGGTTTACAGAACGTACTTGGTTCAGGTTCACTTTTGACTCAATATGACTTCATTAATTTATATGTTGTCAGCATGTCCTGGTCCAACATCTGACACGGACCTTGTTATTCTGTGCGACGTGTGAGCCGGTATGACTTTAGCTATGTCTCTCAAAAAATATGACAATATAGTAAGGCATGAAAATGTTAAAAGACGTCATAGTGTAATGAAGAAAAAAAAAAAGTCAAAAGACATTTAAGTATAGTAAGGCATGAAAAGTCAAAGTATACTAAGGCTTAAAAAGTCATAGTATATTAAAAAATAAAAAGTCATAGTATACTAAGGTATAAAAAGTCATAGAATAGTGAAGCATAAAAAGTCATAGCATAGTTAGTAACAAAAAAGTCATAAAAAGTCATAGTATAGTATGACATAAAAAGACATAGTATAGTAAGGCATAAGAAGTCATGGTATTGTTAGGCATAAAAAGTAATAGTATAGTTAGGATCAAAAAAGTGAAAAGAAGGCATAGTATAGTAAGGCATAAAAAGTCATAGTATAGTAAGGCATAAAAATTCATAAAAAAGTAATAGTATAATAAAGTATAGAAAGTCATAGTATAGTAAGGCATAAAAAGAAAATAAAACAACATAGTAAAGTAAGGCATAAAAAGTCATAAAAACGACATAGTATAGTAAGGCATAAAAAGTCATAGTATAGTAAGGCATAAAAAGTCATAGTATAGTAAGGCATAAAAAGTCATAGTATAGTAAGGCATAAAAAGTGATGAAAACGACATTGTATAGTAAGGTATAAAAAGTCATAGTATAGTAAGGCATAAAAAGTCATAAAAAGTCATAGTATAGTAAGGCATGAAAAGTCATAGTATAGTAAGGCATAAAAAGTCATAAAAACGACAGTATGGTAAGGAATAAAAAGTCATAAAAAACGACAGTATAATGAGGCATAAAAAGTCAGTATAGTAAGGCATAAAAAGTCATAGTATGTTAAGAAATAAAAAGTCATAAAAATGACATAGTATAGTAAGGCATGAAAAGTCATTGTATAGTAAGGTATAAAAAATCATAAAAACGACATAGTAGAGTAAATCATAAAAAATATATGTAAAGTAAGGCATAAAAAGTCATAAAAATGTCATAGTATAGTAAGCCATAAAAATTCATAGTATAGTAAGGCAGAAAAATTCATAGTATATTAAGGCATAAAAAGTCATAAAAAAGTAATAGTATAATAAAGTATAAAAAGCCCAAAAAAATTCATTGTATAGTAAGGCAGAAAAATTCATAGTATATTAAGGCATAAAAAGTCATAAAAAAGTAATAGTATAATAAAGTATAAAAAGCCAAAAAAAATTCATTGTATAGTAAGGCAGAAAAATTCATAGTATATTAAGGCATAAAAAGTCATAAAAAAGTAATAGTATAATAAAGTATAAAAAGCCAAAAAAAATTCATTGTATAGTAAGGCAGAAAAATTCATAGTATATTAAGGCATAAAAAGTCATAAAAAAGTAATAGTATAATAAAGTATAAAAAGCCAAAAAAAATTCATTGTATAGTAAGGCAGAAAAATTCATAGTATATTAAGGCATAAAAAGTCATAAAAAAGTAATAGTATAATAAAGTATAAAAAGCCAAAAAAAATTCATTGTATAGTAAGGCAGAAAAATTCATAGTATATTAAGGCATAAAAAGTCATAAAAAAGTAATAGTATAATAAAGTATAAAAAGCCAAAAAAAATTCATTGTATAGTAAGGCAGAAAAATTCATAGTATATTAAGGCATAAAAAGTCATAAAAAAGTAATAGTATAATAAAGTATAAAAAGCCAAAAAAAATTCATTGTATAGTAAGGCAGAAAAATTCATAGTATATTAAGGCATAAAAAGTCATAAAAAAGTAATAGTATAATAAAGTATAAAAAGCCAAAAAAAATTCATTGTATAGTAAGGCAGAAAAATTCATAGTATATTAAGGCATAAAAAGTCATAAAAAAGTAATAGTATAATAAAGTATAAAAAGCCAAAAAAAATTCATTGTATAGTAAGGCAGAAAAATTCATAGTATATTAAGGCATAAAAAGTCATAAAAAAGTAATAGTATAATAAAGTATAAAAAGCCAAAAAAAATTCATTGTATAGTAAGGCAGAAAAATTCATAGTATATTAAGGCATAAAAAGTCATAAAAAAGTAATAGTATAATAAAGTATAAAAAGCCAAAAAAAATTCATTGTATAGTAAGGCAGAAAAATTCATAGTATATTAAGGCATAAAAAGTCATAAAAAAGTAATAGTATAATAAAGTATAAAAAGCCAAAAAAAATTCATTGTATAGTAAGGCAGAAAAATTCATAGTATATTAAGGCATAAAAAGTCATAAAAAAGTAATAGTATAATAAAGTATAAAAAGCCAAAAAAAATTCATTGTATAGTAAGGCAGAAAAATTCATAGTATATTAAGGCATAAAAAGTCATAAAAAAGTAATAGTATAATAAAGTATAAAAAGCCAAAAAAAATTCATTGTATAGTAAGGCAGAAAAATTCATAGTATATTAAGGCATAAAAAGTCATAAAAAAGTAATAGTATAATAAAGTATAAAAAGCCAAAAAAAATTCATTGTATAGTAAGGCAGAAAAATTCATAGTATATTAAGGCATAAAAAGTCATAAAAAAGTAATAGTATAATAAAGTATAAAAAGCCAAAAAAAATTCATTGTATAGTAAGGCAGAAAAATTCATAGTATATTAAGGCATAAAAAGTCATAAAAAAGTAATAGTATAATAAAGTATAAAAAGCCAAAAAAAATTCATTGTATAGTAAGGCAGAAAAATTCATAGTATATTAAGGCATAAAAAGTCATAAAAAAGTAATAGTATAATAAAGTATAAAAAGCCAAAAAAAATTCATTGTATAGTAAGGCAGAAAAATTCATAGTATATTAAGGCATAAAAAGTCATAAAAAAGTAATAGTATAATAAAGTATAAAAAGCCAAAAAAAATTCATTGTATAGTAAGGCAGAAAAATTCATAGTATATTAAGGCATAAAAAGTCATAAAAAAGTAATAGTATAATAAAGTATAAAAAGCCAAAAAAAATTCATTGTATAGTAAGGCAGAAAAATTCATAGTATATTAAGGCATAAAAAGTCATAAAAAAGTAATAGTATAATAAAGTATAAAAAGCCAAAAAAAATTCATTGTATAGTAAGGCAGAAAAATTCATAGTATATTAAGGCATAAAAAGTCATAAAAAAGTAATAGTATAATAAAGTATAAAAAGCCAAAAAAAATTCATTGTATAGTAAGGCAGAAAAATTCATAGTATATTAAGGCATAAAAAGTCATAAAAAAGTAATAGTATAATAAAGTATAAAAAGCCAAAAAAAATTCATTGTATAGTAAGGCAGAAAAATTCATAGTATATTAAGGCATAAAAAGTCATAAAAAAGTAATAGTATAATAAAGTATAAAAAGCCAAAAAAAATTCATTGTATAGTAAGGCAGAAAAATTCATAGTATATTAAGGCATAAAAAGTCATAAAAAAGTAATAGTATAATAAAGTATAAAAAGCCAAAAAAAATTCATTGTATAGTAAGGCAGAAAAATTCATAGTATATTAAGGCATAAAAAGTCATAAAAAAGTAATAGTATAGTAAGGCATAAAAAGTCATAGTATAGCAAGGCATAAAAAGTCATAGTATAGTATGGCATAAAAAGTCAAAAAAAGTCATAGTATAGTAAAGCATGAAAAGTCATAGTGTAGTAAGGCATGAAAAGTTATAGTATAGTAAAGCATAAAAAGTCATGAAAACGACATAGTATAGTAAGGCATAAAAAGTCAAAAAAAAGTCATAGTATAGTAAGGCATAAAAAGTCATAGTATAGTATGGCATAAAAAGTCAAAAAAAAGTCATAGTATAGTAAGGCATAAAAAGTCATAGTATAGTATGGCATAAAAAGTCAAAAAAAAGTCATAGTATAGTAAGGCATAAAAAGTCATAGTATAGTATGGCATAAAAAGTCAAAAAAAAGTCATAGTATAGTAAGGCATAAAAAGTCATAGTATAGTATGGCATAAAAAGTCAAAAAAAAGTCATAGTATAGTAAGGCATAAAAAGTCATAAAAAACGACATAGTATAGTAAGGCATAAAAAGTCAGTATAGTAAGGCATAAAAAGTCATAGTATAGCGAGGGAAAAAAAGTCATAAAAAAATCATAGTATAGTAAGGCATTAAAAGTCATAAAAATGTCATAGTATAGTAAGGCATAAAAAGTCATGAAAACGACATAGTATAGTAAGGCATAAAAAGTCGAACAGTAAGACATAAAAAGTCAACAACAACAACATAGTATAATGAGGCATAAAAAGTAATAAAAACGACATAGTATAGGAAGGCATGAAATGTCTTAAAGTCATAGTATATAAGGTATAGTAAGGCATAGAAAGTCCTAGTAGAGTAAGGCATAAAAAGTCATAGTATAGTTAGGAACTAAAAAGTCATACAAAGTTATAGTATAGTTAGGGACAAAAAGTAATAAAGAAGTCATCGTATAGTTAGTCATAAAAAGTCATAAAAAGTCATAGTTTTGTTAAGAACAAAAAGTCATGAAGAACTCATAGTATAGTAAGGCATAAAAAGTAATAGTACAGTAAGGTATAAAAAGTCATAGTATAGTAAGGCATGAAAATGCCATGGTATAGTAAGGTATAAAAAAATATCATTCTTGTAATCGGATGACTTCAGGTGTTCGGCAACCAATCAGATCTTGTTACCATCTCAACCAGCCAATCACGTTATTGCCGTCATACTTGAAAATTTGTTATGTGTTGTCATTTCAGTGCGTTTGCTGCGACCCCCCTCCACTCCATCCACCTCCAGTCTTCAAATCCAGTCAGGCCAAGCTTATCATCACTCCTCATCATATCCAGATCTCCAGCTTCTCTTTTTCTATCTCCAGGATAATCATCAATGTCAAGACTTAAGGACCTTCCTATATTTCACACAGCTTCACCCCCTTTTTCACATGTGATGACAACACCATGGGGTCAAGTCGCCAAAGACTCTCACATCTATAAGTTTCTTATGTTTTGAAAATTGCAATAAAAGTTTATTCATTTACACAAATGAGTCTCTCCTGACTAATTTGTCATCATGCCAAGTAAGTATAGTAAGGCATAAAAAGTCATAAAAAAGTCATAGTATAGTATGGCATAAAAAGCCATAGTATAGTAAGGCATAAAAAGTCATAACTACGCCATAATATAGTAAGGCATAAAAAGTCATAACTACGCCATAATATAGTAAGGCATAAAAAGTCATAACTACGCCATAATATAGTAAGGCATAAAAAGTCATAAAAACGTCATAGTATAGTAAGGCATGAAAAGTCATAGTATAGCGAGGGAAAAAAAGTCATGAAAAAGTCATAGTATAGTAAGGCATAAAAAGTCATAGTATAGTATGGCATAAAGAGTCAAAAAAAGTCATAGTATAGTAAGGCATGAAAAGTCATAGTATAGTAAGGTATAAAAAGTCATTAAAAAATAATAGTATAATAAAGTATAAAAAGTCATAGTATAGTAAGGCATAAAAAGTCATAGTATAGTATGGCATAAAGAGTCAAAAAAAGTCATAGTATAGTAAGGCATGAAAAGTCATAGTATAGTAAGGCATAAAAAGTCATAGTATAGTATGGCATAAAGAGTCAAAAAAAGTCATAGTATAGTAAGGCATGAAAAGTCATAGTACAGTAAGGCATAAAAAGTCATGAAAACGACATGGTATAGTATGGCATAAAAAGTAATAAAAACATCAAAGTATATTAAGGCATGAAAAGTCATAGTATAGTAAGGTATAAAAAGTCATTAAAAAATAATAGTATAATAAAGTATAAAAAGTCATAGTATAGTAAGGCATAAAAAGTCATAAAAAAGTCACAGTATATTAAGGCATAAAAAGTCATAAATACGACATAGTATAGTAAGGCATAAAAGGTCATCGTATAGTAAGGCATGAAAAGTCATAGTATAGTAAGACATTAAAAGTCATAGTATATTAAGGCATAAAAAGTCATAAAAACGACATAGTATAGTAAGGCATAAGAAGTCCTAGTATAGTAAGGCATGAAAAGTCATAGTACAGTAAGGCATAAAAAGTCATAAAAACATCATAGTATAATAAGGCATAAAAAGTCATAAAAAAAGTCATAGTATAGTAAGGCATAAAAAGTCATAAAAAAGTCATAGTATAGTAAGGCATAAAAAGTCATAGGATAGTAGGGCATAAAAATTCATTAAAAATTCATAGTATAGTAAGGCATAAAAATTCATAAAAACGTCATAGTATATTAAGGCATAAAAAGTCATAGTATAGTATGACATAAAAAGTCATAGTATAGTAAAGCATAAAAAGTCATAGTATAGTTAGGAAGAAAAAAGTCATAAAGAAGTCATAGTATAGTAAGACAAAAAAAGTCATAGTATAGCTAAGTATAAAAAGTCATAGTATAGTAAGTCATAAGAAGTCATAAAGAAGTCATAATATAGAAAGTCATAAAAAGTGATAGTATAGTAAGGTATAAAAAGTCATACTATAGTAAAGTATAAAAAGTCACAGTATAGTAAGGCATAAAAAGTTATTGTATAGTATGACAAAAAGTCATAGTATAGTTAGGAACAAAAAAGTCAAAAGAAGGCATAGTATATTAAGGCATAAAAAGTCATAGTATAGTAAGGCATAAAAAGTCATAGCATAGTTAGGAACAAAAATTCATAAAGAAGTCATAGTATAGTAAGGTATGAAAAGTCACAGTATAGTATGAGGCGAAGTAACGTCAAGAAACGCTATAGTAAAATAAGGTATGAAAATGTCACAAACCGTCAGCTTATAGTAAGGCATAAGAAATCATAGTATAATAAGGTTAAAAAAGTCATAGTATAGCAAGGTATGAAATGTCATAGTATAGTAAGGTGAAGTAAATTCAGAAAACGCCATAGTAAAATAAGGCATAAAAAGTCACAATATAGTAAGCCATAAAAAGTCACAGTATAGTAAGGTTTAAAAAGTCATAGTATCGTAAGGTATACAAAGTCATACTATATTAGGGCAAAGTAACTTCAAGAAATGCCATAGTAGAAGGCATGAAAATGTCAAAAACCGTCAACTTATATTAAGGCATAAGAAGTCATAGTATAATAAGGTATAAAAAGTCAAAGTATATTAAGGTAAAAAAAGTCACAGTATAGTAATAGTATAGTAAGGTAAAAAAAGTCATAGTATAGTAAGGCATAAAAAGTCACAGTGTAGTAATAATATAGTAAGGTATAAAAATTCACAATATAGTAATAGTATAATAAGGTATAAAAAGTCATATTATAGTAATAGTATAGTAAGACATAAAAAGTCACAGTATAGTAAGGTATAAAAAGTCATAGTATAGTAAGGATTAAAAAGTCACAGTATAGTAAGATATAAAAAGTCATACTATAGTAAGGCATAAAAAGTCATAAAAAAGTCATAGTATAGTAAGGCATAAAAAGTCATAAAAAAGTCACTATAGTAAGGTATAAAAAGTCATAAAAAAGTCATAGTATAGTAAGGCATAAAAAGTGATGAAAACGACATAGTATAGTAAGGCATAAAAAGTCATAAAAAAGTCACTATAGTAAGGTATAAAAAGTCACAGTATAGTAAGGTATAAAGTATCATATTATAGTAAGGCATAAAAAGTCATAGTCTAGTAAGTTATAAAAAGTCACACTATAGTCAGTTATAAAAAGTCACAGTATAGTAAGGTATAAAAAGTCACGGTATAGTAAGGCACAAAAATGTCAATAAACATCTTAGTAGAGCAAGGCAGGGGTTCCCAAACTTTGCCATGCCAAGGACCCCCAAATAGCATTAGTCTCTGGTGGGGACCCCCCTGTTGCACATTTACAAAAAAACAAAACGTGTACATTATGATGGCAAACATCAAAAATCAAGCATATAATTTTTTAATATCATTTTCTTAATTTTCATTAATAATAAATATTAAAATTTTGTTGTCACATTTTCCCCCCTTTTTCCTTTTTTCCTTCAAAGTTTCTGCAATCCCCCTGGCGACCCCCGGGGGGTCGTGAACCTCCACAAAACAGTGGAGTAAGGCATAAAATGTCAAACAATGTCATGATATAGTGAGTCAAATATTCATGCACACATATACATACATTCTCACACTCATATTCATAGATACTTACATAAATACACACCTTTTCATACTTGTATACATATCTATATATGTATGCATATTGATTGATAGAATATACTGTCCACCTCAGGGGAAATTTGTCCAATCATCTGTGCTCACACTGAACAACTTCCTAACATCCAAACTGTGACTGTCACAGATGTTACAGATGTGACAGATGCTACAGATGTGAACTCACCATTTTTCTGTTGAGTCTGGTCATGATGTCTCTGGCCAGTGTGAAAAAGGCCTGAAGAGAGAAAAAACCATCAACAATGAACTTATTAAATCTGTGTGTTATCACTGTGACCCATCAGGACCAGGACCAGGACTCACCTCCTCCACATTGATGCTGGACTTCGCACTGGTTTCCAAAAACTTAATCCCATAGTCGATCGCCAACTGAACAACAAACAACAACCACAACAGTCAGAGTTAATATTTACCATAGTCTCATCAGTTTTTTCAATTTAATGATCAATCAGACAAACTGTTTGTTTCTCATTGACACATTGACTATGAAGCTGTAATAATTCAACTGCGACTCATTCTGATACATTTTCATGAACATGACATGAACCTTTGTTTCAGTGAATTAAACACCTGAATAAAATACAAACGCTTCATTACACTGATGCTAGAATCATAGAAAAACAATATTGTATTTTATTTTAAATCACTTAAAAAACAGCAGCTTGTTAAAGAAGCTACAGTGATTTATTTACAACTTGTTTTTGTGTAGTTTTGATTTGTGTCACTGTGTCACTGTTTCACAGATAAAGATGATCATTGTTGTGAAGCTGCTCAGTGGTTTCTCCCTCACTGTCCTGATGAAGCAGAGACATTAGGAGGAAGATCCTCCACCATCAGATCATCAGCAGCTGGTGATGAAGCTGAAACATCTGTAGGAAACTAGGAAACACATCTGACCTTCTCTCCTCTCTCCTTGGACACTTGTCTCTTGTCGTTCATGTCACATTTGTTGCCCAGGACCATCCTCTCCACGTCTGAGGATGCATGCTGAAACACACACACACACACACACACACACACACACACACACACACACACACACACACACACACACACACACACACACACAGACACACAGAGGCTGTTACTGACACACACTCACATCAGGGAATCAAACCAGTGACCCTGTGATCAGCTGCTCCACGAGGTCAGTTTAATTAACTTTGAGAACATATAAAACACACAGGGACACAGGGCGCCCCCCACCACCTTCCACTCAGACTGATGATGAAGAGCAGTCCCCCCCCCCTCACAGAGGAGAGGAAACATGACCTTTCAACATGAAGAGAAGAAGAAGAAGGTCCAGACTGTGCAGGTGGATTTAAACCACATGGTGGCAGCACTCACCTGGATCATATGAACAGTAACTGAGGGAGGGTGCAAACTCCAGACCTCAGGTCTGGACCTTCAGGTGTGTGAGCATCAGAGGCTTTGACCAGGTCAAAGGTCAGTCAGCTGTTACAGGTGAGTCATAGTTCATAATAACCTGATGTAAATGTCTGAACGTCTGAACCAGTTCAGAGACTGGACTCAGAGGCTCCTGGTCTCAGTCTGATCCACTGTCACTTCATCTGATATCAACACCACTTCAAATCTCTTTTCCCATTGGCTCACAGACCTGAGGCCCCACCCACTCCCCCTTAGCAGCCATGTTGTGACGTGTCGTACCTCCTCGATGTTTCTTATCCAGTTCCTGATGTTGTCGAAGGACTTCTCATTGGTGATGTCATACACCAGCATGATGCCCTGAAACACAGACGACAGGAAGTGACATCAACTGTGACATCAGCACAGGAAGTGCTTGACCAGTCAGTTACATTCAGCTCCCATTGTTTAGGCTCAAACATCAGTGTGTTAGTCCATCTCTAGACTCCTCCCCTCCTGTCCGTGTCTCGCAGCTCATTGGTTCTCGCTGAAGTCTTTAAAAAGTCCTCATGAATATGAAGTCTCATCTTAAAGAGTCAATCAGGTGATCACTGTAACCATCAGGAGGAAACTTTGACTTTGTCTGGGACTATTTTCAGCGGCTGATTAATCCACATAAGGAGGAGGCGTGTCTTACCATGGCTCCTCTGTAATAGGCTGTCGTAATGGTCCTGAACCTCTCCTGCCCCGCCGTGTCCCTGCAAGAACAGGAAGTAACATCAGTCCAAGGTTAAAGTGTCGACTGACTCAGCACGCACACACGCACGCACACACACACTGTAATTGGATTATTTCACTGTGCAGTGATTAAACCAGAATATAACAATATATTATTTCTCCTCTCTCATTGGACAGTGGACTGGGTCAGAGTTCAGTGGGGTCGGTTAGTTCTGGGCGAGGATCTGACTCACCAGATCTGCAGTTTGATCTTCTTGCCATCCAGCTCTATCGTCCTGATTTTAAAGTCGATTCCTGAAAGAGAAGAGAAACATGAGATCTGGCTCTGAGGTTTAGACCACTCCCCCTCCAGGTACTGTTTCCTGGTTGGTCCATGGTTAGATCCACAGCTTCACTTTGTATTTTCAGAGCAGTTTCCAACAGGAAAACAATGTGCTGACATGACAGTCTCTGATTCTCTGATGACAAGGGGGAATAACTCTTAACCCCACCCGCCTGACAAAGAGAGGTGTTTAAAACAAACACTGATGTGTGAGGTGCGTTAGTTTCCCTGCTCTGAGTTAAATCAGCTGCCGGGGCGTGTCTCTGGTGGTTAAAAAGGAAATGAAGATATTTTTAACAATCAAATGTGACCGAACGTTCCTTCCTGCTCTGAAGAGAAAAATCTGTTTCCAAGAAGCTGCGGATACGAAGCCTGACAGCTCCGTTTCCTCCTGCCTTTCCTGCTCTGAGCTGCGGCCCCCCCTCCTCACAATGCGCCTCCTGTCCTGTTTCAGGTCATTTAGCTGGGTGTTGGTTTGATTCCCTGAACAGCAGAACTACCTGCCACAGTGTCCTGGAGCAACATGTTTAACCAGTGGAGTACAGAGAGCTCAGATTACATTAAAACACAGGAGCTGAAGCTAATGAAGCTAACTGATGTGATGCTAACTGATGCTAACTGATGTTCACTGACGCTAACTGATGCTAGCTGATGTTATGTTGACCGATGCTAACTGATTTCATTGATGCTAACTGATTCTTGCTAATGCTAACTGATTTTGACAGATGTTAACTGATGTGATGAAACGGGGGTGGGGGGTGGAGGTGGTGGGTCGAAGATAGATGTGACATCATGGCCGATTCACATTCAGTACCCCCCCATCCTGTCAGACAGCAGCAGACCGTGTGAGACGCACTCCGTCATGGCACCAAGATGGCAGTGCAGGGCTCGATTGTTATCACCACACCCTTGACTGCACCTCTCCCCCCACAAACCGGCACCATCCAGGAAATGACCTCAGCTCACCACAGGAAAATACCAGTTCACCGGCATGACCCTGCGCTCTTTGTCAGACACAAGAACAGACTTGTCAGAGATTCAGATTCAGAGACAGAGAGCTCTGACTCTTTTTTAGTTCAGTTTCAAACTCAGCAGGTAAATGGGAACACGGATACTGAGTCAGAATCATCTGATAGCATGAATTATAATATATATAAATTGTAACATATACAAATATGTGAAGAAGCAGCAGGTAAAAATGCTGGATGATGGAAAAATAAAGAAAGCTCAGTAACCAATGACACATGAGACTACAGATACATGTGGGCTCACTATTTGGCAAGCAACAGGTCACTGTTGCTGTTTTTATCTAATGTGTTGTAACAGCTTATGAATGATTTATAAAGAGTTAACAAGCTCATTAATAAACTAGTTATGAACCATTCATTAACACTTTATAAGGGGAGTCTGATTGTGAAGTAAAACCCTGTATAGTTACAGTCACTGTAACAACGTGACAGGACACAGTCACACTTTCACTCTGTTCAATGTGTCTTTGTATTCAGATCAGTCTGTAAGAAATACACAACATCACTGACATACTCTACATGCATTTCACATGTCCTCAACACACACACACACACACACACACACACACACACACACACACACACTCAGAGGTCAGCTGACTGTCACGAGACCCCTGGCAGACCGGTGACAGTGCATCCTCTGTCTGACCACAGCAGCAGAGGATTGTGGGAGCTCATTTCACATTCATGCAGCTGAACTGGGAGAAAACCAGCACAGACTGGAGAAACATGACAAACCAGAATCTGTGTCCTGATGATGTCACTGAGGTGGAGCAGGTGGGAAGAGTCACTGACACCACCACACAGATCACTGCACACATCTGTCCTCAGCATCACTGCAACTCTGACAGACACCAGCCTTACACAGGTAACACAGGACACAGGTGACACAGATGAGGTCTGCAGATTGTGAGTGCTGCCACCATTGTAAAGAACATTATTTCCCATCAGCCCTTGATGTTTGTGGATAAAGATCCCCACAGCTCAGTGGAGATCACAGAGAGCTGGAACAGTGACGTCAGAGCGTTGGAGAGTTTCATGAAGTTACGATAACTGAACTTTTTGTGCTCAGTGTAATAACACAGTAATAACACAGATATTTTACACACCATCAGCTGACTGAACCGGAAACCACGACACACACATTTAGCTCAGATTTATGTTTGAGATGAGCTCAATCTGAGGATTTTAATAATCAATGTTGGATCATTTATTGGTCAGATTTTTAAATGCAGAGCTGTTAACATGTCAGTTCAACCCTGAGCTGATTTCTCTTCATAGTCAGACATGCTGAACAAGAGGTTGTACTGAACCTAGTGGAGCAGAGGCCAGACAGGAAGTGACGTCAGGACCTCAGCTCTCTGTACAGCACTAAACTCATGTTTATGTAAAACATCAGCTCCACTTCCTCCAGCGCTGCCAGCTTCACTAACGAGAGAAACAGCTGATGAAACAACTTGACTGGACCCATGTTGGTCTTAAGAGGTTACACAACTACACTGTGTAAAACAGACTGTAACAGGCAGATAAGAACAGTAACCATGGGAACATGAATGTGCAGGAAACAGTGGAAACACGAGGACTAACTAACAGAAGTACAATCAGTTTTACCTCCAAACACAAATATCAGCTTTAACCTCAGCGTCTGCAGCAGAAACAGATTCACTGTAAACCTGAATCCAAACCTGAACCAGAGTCACACAACATACCAGACACACCACACTTCTGCCTGTTCATGTGAGGACCCTCACTGACATAATGTATTCCTCAGCACCTTACCCAAACCTGAACCTGATCCTGACCTGATCCCAAACACCAAACTGACACTGGTCCTCACAAAGATAGTAATAGTAATACCCCCCCCCCCCCCCACACACACACACACACACACAGGGCTGCTCTGTGTCACTGCAGACAGAAGAAGACAGTTCCACTTCCTGTTTCCACCAGAGACAGAAGAGCGACACACTTGCTCGCTCGTGACGCCGGAAACACAGAGTGTGTGTGTGTACCTCTATGTCTATCTTTATGAGGACCATGTCAGGTCAAACCATCGTAGTGAGGACATTTCTACATTCCTCACTACAGCTGCAACAATTAGCCGAATTAATTGATGAGTCAATCGACAGAATATGAATCAGCAGCTGCTTTGATAATAAAATTGTTTCAGTCATTTTTAAGCAAAAATTTCAAAAAATTGAGATGCTCCAGTTTCTTAAATGTGACAGTGTAATTTCTGTTGGACACAATAAGACGTGTGAAGACGTCACCATGGACGACAGACATGTTTCACTGTTTATTAGTTCAGAGAGAGAACGATTCTTCAAACCGTCAGTGACACAGATCTAGTTCATCATGTCAAAGCCTAGTGATCCAACAGAGGGCGCTCTGACGCTTCACTATCAGCTCGACCTATCAGGTCACTCAGCAGCTAGTAATGTTGTACTATCACAACCATCAACACCAACACAACTTTAACAACCATCACAACATCACATCCATCACAACATGACAACCAACAAAACCCTAACAACCATCACAACCATAACAACCATGACAACCACAACATGCCAACCATAACCATCACAACCATAATAACCAAAACAACATGCCAACCATCACAACCAAACACAACCATCGCAAACCATAACTACCGTACAACCAACACAACATACAACCATCAACACCAACACAACTTTAACAACCATCACAACATCACATCCATCACAACATGACAACCTACAAAACCATAACAACCACAACAACCACAAAAACCATGACAACCACAACAACATGCCAACGATAACCATCGCAACCATAACAACTGACAACCAACACAAGCATAACAACCCTCGCAAACCATAACAACCGTACAACCAACACAACATAATAACATGACAACCAGCAAAACCATAACAACATAACAACTATCGCAACCATAACAACCGTACAACCAACACATCCAAAACAACCATCGCAACATAACAACTGTACAACCAACACAACGAAACCAACCATCGCAACATAACAACCAACACAACATCACAACATGAAAACCATCACAACCAACACAACATCACAACATGAAAACCATAAACACCAACACAACCATAACAACCATCACAACATGACAACCAACAAAACCATAACAACCATGACAACCACAACAACCACAACAACCATGACAACCACAACATGCCAACCATAACCATTGCAACCATAACAACCGTACAACCAACACAACCATCACAAAAATCACAACCATAACAACCATTGCAACATAACAACCAACACAACCATCACAACAATCGTAACCATCAAAACATAACAACCAACACAACCATCACAACAATCGTACCATCACAACATAACAACCAACACAACCATAAAAACCATCACAACCATAACAACCAATACAACCATCAACACCAGCACAACCATAACAACCAACACAACCATCACAACCATAACAATCAACACAACCATCACAACAATCGTACCATCACAACATAACAACCAACACAACCATAAAAACCATGACAACCATCACAACCAACATAACCATGACAACCATCAAAACCATCTCAACCATAACAACCAATCAACACCAAAACAAACCATAACAACCATCGCAAAAATCACAACCAACATAACCATGACAACCAACACAACCAACGCAACCAACACAACCAACATAACCATGACATCCAACACAACCATCACAACACAACCAACATAACTATGACAACCAACGCAACCAACGCAACCAACACAACCAACATAACCATGACAACCAGCACAACCAATACACCCATCACCACCATCACAGTCATCACATCTAACACTACCATCACAACCACTCATCTGCTGATCATTGATCAACTGACAACACAGGTTAGACCTGATGATGGACTTATACTGACCAGTAAGGTCAAAGGTCACTGTCACAGCTGCCCCCCTCCTCCACAAACGCTTTCACTTTCCTGGTGGCAACCGTTAAAGCCCCCGCCCCCCAGTCCCGTTAACGGCTCCCCCGCCGTCGCCGTGAGAAGAGGACTCACCGATGGTGGAGATGAAGGTGGTGTTGAAGGCGTCCTCACTGAACCGGAACAGGAGGCAGGTTTTACCGACGCCGCTGTCACCGATCAGCAGCAGTTTGAACAGATAGTCGTACGTCTTCGCCATTTTCCCGCCGTTTGTCCCGGTGTTACCGGTAATATAACGGACCCTCCGGCCTCCTCAGCCTCTCCACGACCCGCCGACACTCTGCTGGGCTCACTGGATTTGGTGGGAGCACTGGTTCCGTACTGGTTTCTACTGAAACGGGTCCGACTGGAGCAGGAAACGGTTCAGCTTCAAGCTAACCGGAATACATCGGAGCACACATCCGGAAGGGGCTTTTCACAATAACGCACAACAATCAACAAACCAGAATTCAGCTCTCGCTGCGTCACTGTGTGTCTGTATTACACATCACCTCCAATGATAAAGATTTTTAACGCTTCCTCCGAAAATAACAAGTGAATCAATCCATCTATTAACTGAACATAATAATATGTTTCATTTGTCTGAAGGTTCTTCTCTGGGGTTTTATTATATGATCTCTGACTCTATTATCCTACCTGTGTTTGTTATTGTATGAAAACATGACATCAATAACCAGAATACCAAACAATAAACATAAACCAACACACTAGATTACACTAAACAACCCACACAATATACCATATAAACACATAACATTATAATATTAATCAGGCTTGACAACCTTAATAAGATGTTAGAGAAAGAAAAAAAAACAACTAAATAAATGAATAAATAAGAAACCAAAACAAAACAATGGCAAAATAATTCAGATGCTGCATTGCATATACAATATTCTGTTTTCCTACCTGTGTTTGTTCATTGATGGTCTGCCCTTTATTATTTAGCTTTACATTGATTCCAGTGTGTGTTTGTTAATGGATAATCATTGATTAATGTTCAGCTTTTGTTTACCATATTATGACTTAAATCATCCACTTGTGTTCTTACTTCTTAATCTGTAGTGGTCATTTATTATTTCAGAAGGTTTTAATTATTAGATGTGATGATTATGACCAGGTATTATGATGTAATGATCTGGTGTTATGGGAGCGGCTGTGGCTCAGGAGGGAGAGCGGGTCATCCACCAATCAGAAGGTTGGTGGATCGATCCCTGGCTCCATGTTGAAGTGTCCTTGGGCAAGATACTTAACCCTATGGCTGTCCCATAAGTGTGTGAGTGTGTGTGTGAATGGCTGAAAGTGGATTCCATTGTAAAGCGCTTTGAGTGGTCGATAAGACTAGAACAGCCTAAAGCCTATTTACCATTTATCTGTTCACAATGACAATGAATGCATTGTGGTAAATCAAAGTAAAATACATAGAACAGGTTGTACTGTTCAGACAGGTGCTGATTCACCTGTCGGCTCGTGTTGGAGGATGTGCTGTGTAAGCCGACAGGTGTGTCACATTTATGTCAGTGAGTGACTGCTGTATCAGGTCAAACACACTTCCTGTCTCCTTTCTCTGATGAGCTAAGACCATGATGATTAAATCACCTGGAGTTGGACTAAATACTGAGCTTTTATTTTGAAAGTGAGTCCGCTATATTTCCGGTGTGTCTCATGACAGCTTGACGCGGCCGGGAGACAGGGGGCGTGGTTCTGTGACGTCGACCTCCGGGTGTGTGCGTATGTGTGGGCTGCCAGTTTGGAGGACCCGGTCCCGGACTGGTCCCGTCTACACAGTGAGGATTCACAGAGTTGCGGGGCGGGAAAATAACTCTAATGAGGAAGTACTCTAAAGGTGGATACAGCAATTTAAACAAACTGAAACGATCAGCGGATCCCTTCCGTTATTAACGGAATGATGATGACGTCAGGAGCTGAGCTGTTTCCTGGATTCTGTCTCTACTCCTGAGAACAGGTACATGTTAATGAGCAGGACTCACCTGGTTGTAGTTTACAGGACTCAGACTCTGGTCCTGATGGACGGGCCCCTCCATGTACAGACCTGGCCTCAGTCAGTCCCTGTTCAGGACCAGGGGCCCGTCTCACAAAACACCTTAAGTTTTCTACTTAAGTCTGACACTTAAGGTTTAATTTCTCCTCAGCTGAGGAAGTTACTTGAGGGTGTTTCACAGAATCTCTTAAAATGCTTCCTCAGTTAAGGAAAAAAGTTAAGACATTTTGCAGCAGTGAAAGAGATTTTACAGCAGAAAAATTCTACTGTTTCCATGGAGAGCGTTGGTTAGCTCTTGTGAGGCAGGTAACATTAAAGAAGCTGTTGTCTCATCCTCCTTCAGCAGGTGAACGCTGGTCTCTAAGGTCTTCTGTCAATCACTTTAACTGACTTTAAGTGTTTAAGACTAAGATAAGCAGAAAACCTTCATTACTTAAGTGAACATTTTAAGGAAACCTTGAGGAGAAGACTTAAGGTGTTTTGTGCTGTTGGCCTCATGTTAATTCACCTTTTTACCCTCATTTCTAATAAAAGCTTGTTTTTTAAATACTGTTTATCTTTCTTATATGTACATGAATCAATATATTCATCTGTTACACACAGAAAAACACACATACACTTGTATCTTCTATCTACACTCATGTGTTCATTAACCTGAATCTGAACCTGCACCTGGTAACCTAGCAACCTCTCCAAGGCACTGGGACGCCCTACCTGCCAAGAACCGAAGAACTGGTGCTGGTTTGAAGACGAATGGGGTCACAGTAAATCATGATGTGGTTCAGGTTTTTCCTCTGCTCGTTGGATGAAGTGAACAGATTGGAGGTTTAGATGTGCACATACACTCACACACTTCACTGTCTCACTCTCATTGTTGAATTCAGGTTTTAATACATTAACTGTAAATAATGAAACCAGCTGTTTCTAAACAGAGATCTGTCAGTCCTTTAATCAGACCTCAGTGTGTCAGCAGGTTCTTCCTCTAACAGCCTCCATCATTAAAGTAGATCAGCCTGTGAAGCCTGAGAGGTAAAACTCAGGGTGAAACAGAGCGATCACTCTGCTCCTTCAGACAGAGCTGAGGTCCACAAGTCTGTTTCTCTTCAGTCTCTGAGCAGCTTCATGAGGAGAGGAGCTTCACTGCTTCCTCTCTCATCTCCTTTAGGAAACACTGGAGCTTCCTTTACCAAAGGAAAGGAGACATGCCGTCCCACAATGCCTTGCTGCAGCAACATTTAAAACCACAGCAGAGCCACATAAATGTAGAAACATCAGAGCAGCTGTTTCTGTCTGATGGACTGAAGCTCAGATCCATAAATATAGATTCATTCTCTTTCATCAGTCAGGAGTCGTCATGAAGAACGAGCTGATGAATCTATAGTTACATCATCATCATCATCATCATCATCATCATCATCATCAGAACTAAATACTATAGTCTATACATTCATGTTGTTTCACTAAATCCTCCCAGTGTAAAGACCTAAACAAACGTAGTTAACAAATGTATAAAATGTCATGAAACTATAAACTTAAGGATGAATATAATTTATTCTTAGTTCTTTATTTCTATTTAATTAGTATTTTAATGACTCAACTTTCTGTTTGTATTTTTGTATTATGTTTTATTCCAATATTTCATCCTGTTTGTTTCTGTGGTTAAAGGATTCATCCTGCGTGTGTGTAGAAAAAGTTAAAAAGTGAAAAAGAAAAAGATTCTTTTCCTCAGTCCTGATGAATTCTCCTTCACGTCTTTGACCTGGAGGCTGAAGAGCCAGAGGTCAAAGGTCAGAGAGCATCAACCTTGTGAATGTATGGTGAATTTATTATTGTGAACGTGTGTGTGCAGTGACAGACAGAGGCAGAGGTCTGGCTCTATCTTCCTTTATATAAACTCATAGATCTGGATCTGTGAAACTGAAGAGCAGCAGGAGACAGTAACAGGAAGTAGAAATAATAAATAAAGAGTTACGGTTACATTGGACCACCGTTAAAAAAATATCAAATATCCAAACTGTCCAGAGAACACAAGGAGTGTGATATTATTATTATTATTAATGTGAACCTAAAGATGATGTTCTGAAATGTTTCCACCTTGGTCATGTCAAAGTTGTGCGCATGTTTTCTGAGAATGTAACTGATACAGGTAAGCTGCTGTAGAAGCCCCGCCCCCTCAACATCATCATCTCCTTACAGCAAAGACAGATTCAAATACAGGTAAATACAGGTGAGAGAAAAACTGCAGCTCTAACACCCCCCCCCCATGAAGTGGTCCAGGTGGGCGGAGTCTTGTGCTCCTACATCAGCTCCTCTCTGCAGCCTCAGTCCAGGTCCTGGATGCGACGGCAGATCTCGGCTGTAAACTCTGAACACTTGGAGTTTCCCCCCAGATCCTTCGTCAGCACCTGAGACACAACAACAACCGTCTCCATGGTTACGCCAACAGAAAGAGTCACAAAGACGAACTGATCAAACAGAATGAGTGGACCCATGTGGTCGTCATGGTTACGACCGTCCCACCTTCTTGTCTCTGATGGTGTCGAAGCACGCCGCCTGGATCTTGTTGCCGTGGTCGTGCAGACCCATGTGACGCAGCATCATGACGGCGCTAAGCAGCAGGGCGGTGGGGTTTGCCATGTCCAGGCCGGCGATGTCGGGGGCGGTGCCGTGGACCTGTGGGACACACACACACACACACACACACACACACAGACACACACACACACACACACAGACACACACACACACACACACAGACACACACACACACACACACACAGACACACACACAGTCTAGTTTTCACAGCTGGTCTCTCAGGGACCAGGTCTGGATCGTCCTCCATCAGACAGACATCTCTCCTGTTTATATTCAACACGATTATTAACGATGTTTCTATAAAGTTTTAATTTGTATGAAGAAACATCAGTTACCTACGGGAGCTGGAACAAGTGATCAATGTATTGATCAGTCAATCGATTGGAACATTCTGCAGCTTTTCTCTGGTTCATGTTGTTGGAAACAAATATGGAGGAACTTAACGAGCTCCACATGTTGGTTCATTAAGACAGAGTTCGTTACTCTTCAGCCTGACCTGTCGTTACTCTCGTTAACTAATTAACACAGATGTCAAAACATCAGCTTTAATGAAAGTAAAACAAACCGATTCAAAGATGGCGACTCCGTTGGCTCCGATGTTCCCGCTGGGCGTGACCCCAAGTCCTCCAATCAGACCAGCACACAGGTCACTGAAACACACACCATGTCACAGTTAGCCCCACCCCCTGAAGGTGACCTCTGAACCTGGGACACACTGACGACACACTGACCTCAGGATGTCTCCGTACAGGTTGGGCATGACCAGGACATCAAACTGGGTCGGATCCTGAACCATCTGAAGAACCAGAACCAGGAGGACACAGACTTTAAACTTCTAATATTTATTATTAATAGATTATTGTTTATTTATTAAATCAAATTTAATCAACAGCATGATGAACATCTGTACATTTAATGATCAGTTTATCTCTCTCTCACTCTCACACACACACACACACACACACACACACACACACACACACACACACACACACACACACAGGATGACATCACAGTGACTCACATTGAGACACACAGTGTCCAGGTACATCTCAGTGAACTTGATGTCTTTGTAGTTCTCTGCAACCTCACGACATTTCCTCAGAAACAGACCGTCAGACATCCTCCTGGAGAGGGGGGGGGCATTATCACATCACTGCCTGGTGCTGCCACTAACGACTATTTCATCTAAGAGTCAATTAATCTAATCGATCAGTTTTCCTCCAGAAGATCTGATCGACACTCTGACATGATCAATAAACAGACTCAGGTCTAAACATGTTCTCAGGCAGCAGCAGAAGAGCTGCACGAACAAAGATATCAAACAGCTTTAACCACTAATGAGCAGTGACTGATCTCTAAATATACAAGATTTCATCTTTATCGTATCCATACACTTATTGATCAGCTCAGACTATCACTGCTTCTTTTTCAAATAAATAAATTCACAGCAGGATGTGAACTGATGCTTCTGGTTTGTCTCAGTTTCTGAGAATCACTTAAATACAGAGAAGCTTCTTCTAACAATTCACTGTGAGCTCAGCCGGCGCCATGTTGTAAAACACCACAGTGGCTGTAGCTGGAGCTCTGCTGCTCACATGATGTTGGCCTTGTGGACGGCCGTCACGCTGGTCCTCTGGTTGTTCCTGGCGTATTCGAAGGCATACTCAGCGATGCGTCTGCTCGCCTCCTCAGTGATCAGCTTGATGCTCTGAACCACGCCGTCCACGATCTACAACAGCAACAAGACAGGTTTCCCTCTGTTTCCTGTCTTTGTGCTAAGCTAGGCTAACAGTCTCCCTCTACCTCTAGTTTTTGTGCTAAGCTAGGCTAACAGTCTCCCTCTACCTCTAGTTTTTGTGCTAAGCTAGGCTAACCGTCTCCCTCTGTTTCCAGTCTTTATACTAAGCTAGGCTAACAGTCTCCCTCTACCTCTAGTTTTTGTGCTAAGCTAGGCTAACCGTCTCCCTCTGTTTCCAGTCTTTATACTAAGCTAGGCTAACAGTCTCCCTCTGTTTCCAGTCTTTGTGCTAAGCTAGGCTAACAGTCTCCCCCTGTTTCCAGTCTTTGTGCTAAGCTAGGCTAACAGTCTCCCTCTGTTTCCAGTCTTTATACTAAGCCAGGCTAACATTTCCCTGTACTTCTAGTCTTTGTTCTAAGCTAGGCTAACCGATTCCCTCTACTGCTAGTCTTTGTGCTAAGCTAAGCTAGCAGTTTCCCTCTGCTCCCCCCGTGTCCACTCACCACGTGTTCGATCCCACTGTACTCGCCCTCAGTGTTCTCTCGGATGGTGACCAGGTTGACGTCGGTGTACGGGGTCTTGTAGCCCTCGATGGAGACGCAGGGGCGCACGTTGGCGTAGAGGTCAAAGGTCTTCCTGAGCAGCAGGTTCATGGAGGGGTGACCTGCAGCGATGGGTGTCTTCAGGGGTCCTGCAGGAGACAGATAGTCAGCTGATGAGACCTGGATTCAGAGTCCACCTGAGTCCGAGTCCGACACAGAACACACACCTTTCAGTCCGATCTTGCTCCGGTCCATCGACTCTTTAGCGTCAGGAGGAATCATCCACCTCCCTCCAGGTCCTTTGATGGCTGTCACGTTCCTCTCCTCCCATCTGATGGGAGCCTAGAGGACACAATCACAACCAGCTGATTCTCTGTCACACCTGAGTGAAGAGACTCCGCCCCCTCCATCAGACTCTGATCACACTCACTTTGGCAGCTTCAAAGATCTTCATCACAGCAGTGGAGATCTCCGGTCCAATCCCATCACCAGGGATCAGTGTCACTGTCTGCATCTGTGTGTGTGTGTGTGTGTGTGTGTGTGTGTGTGTGTGTGTGTGTGTGTGTGTGTGGTGGGGGGGCAGAGAGAGACACACACAGAGACAGAGACAGAGAGACACAGAGAGAGAGACGTTACCAAAAACCTGATCAGATTGATTAGAGAGCCTGATCTGGGATCAGCTGCTCATCTCTATGTTTTAATCGTCATGGCTACGTTCAGTGTGTGTGTTAATACAACGTGTCTTCATCCAGTCCAGAGGAAACTGATCTGGGTTCAGGTCCACACAATCAAAACAGTTCTGATCACTTTTCTCTTGATAAACTGATCGATTAATCCATTGATCATTACAAATATATTACATGTTGCTTAGATAGGTGAAATGTTTCCAGATCAATCAGTGATCATTATCATTGATCAGCTGAGCATCGGAGATCTGGATGCATCGCCATAGAAACATGGAGCTGCTGCTGAGCTGGTAACTTTCCTCCAGACTTCCTCTTTTTAATCTGGTCTGTGATGATGTCAGGTCACATGACCTCCTCTGATATTTGAACCAATCAGGACTCAGACATTTTACCTGAGACGCTGCAGAAATTGAAGAGAGAAGTTTTACATTTTTGATTAAAAATGACTCAAACCATTAACCCATCATTTAATTATTAATTACAATTAATCAATTTTCTATCCACTGACTGATCGATAGATTATTTCAGAACTACCTGCAACTAACAACTACGGTCACCTTCAGTTAATTGATTGATTATTGAGATTCTGTCATTCATAGTTTCTTCTGTGACAGACTTAGTCTTCAGTCCGACCTCGGGGACTCACTTCCTGTTCCTGCCGTCAGCGCTGTGACCTGCTCAGCTGCCGCCATGCTTCACACAGACGTTCATGTGAACACGAGTGTGTTGGTGTCGGGTTGGAGGACCCTGAACTACTCACCCCTCTGGAGAAGGAAGCTGAAGACAGAGCGGGTCTCCTCACTGCCCCCCCCACCACCAGCTGAGGAGACAACATGAAGGTCACTTCAACACAACACATAACACTGAGCACACGCACGCACACGTGCGGCACACACACACACCACACACACACATCACACACACACACACACACAACACACACGACACACACACACACACAGTGAGTAGGTGATAACAGAACGCCGTCTCTCTACAGTGATGACGTGAGGTGACAAACTCAACCCCAGTCTCAGGTCAGTGAACTACACAGAGTCCCAGAGACACGTCCAACATGAGGACTGATGTAATGAACCTCGCCCGGTTCAGCAGCAGCTTCAGACTCAGACATGTTGACGTCTGAACGTCTCAGTGTGTCTCTGTTCTTTACTGCTGATGAACATCAGGTCTGATAAACCAGTTCAGTCTGACAGAGCCGGAGACAGAAACATCAGTGACCTTCACGTGATGCTTCTTCACTTTGAACGACACAAACAACAGAACATTTTATTCTCTTCTGTGGTTCTGAGCTGATTTATTTTGAAAGAGTTGAATCAGACTACCATCAAATCACTGAGAGAAGGTTTAACAAAAATGTTAACATTGCATTCTGGTAAAAAATATCTTTCTTGTATTTATATTCATCCGGCATGTATCAGTTTAACACAATAAAACTTATCACACACTATTCTTATAGTTTGTTAGTTTGGTTTTCATGTTTTCTTTTTTGGTCTCCGTTCATTACCACACTGGACCGACCCTGTTTCTTTTTCCTGGTTTAGTGAAGGTGTGGTGTGTGAATTTATGACAGAATCCGTTCAAATCAATGAAGATTTTACTGTTATTGATTTGTATATTTGGTGCAGGCCAAACTGACCAGAGGTCACTCAGCTGGGTGTGAAGCTGTTCACTTGTTTTCTACGGGGTAGAGATTTTAACCAGGATGCAGAGAAACATTAGATGAGGAGATTTTCTAACGGAGTCTGGTTCTGGAGTCTCCATCAGGGAATGTGGCCGCGACTCCGCAGCCTGACGAGGACCGAGAAGCGGGACTCTCCAGCTCCGGGTCGGACGGTGTCACGGCGGGATCTCCGGCAGAAGCTCCGTGACGGTGGAAACTAACCGCTGGATAAAGTCGTGACTGTCCCGGTGACAAACCGGCAGTTCGCTCCGTTATCTTCACTGACATCACGCTGAAGGACACACACAAGCAGCTAACATGCTAACACGCTAACGTGCTAACGCTAGCGGATAAAAGTCAGTGATAGAAACGACACGACATCACACACACGGCGACACTGGAGCTCTCACTGTCACACACTGTGTCCGCGGCCACACAAACACACGTTCACGGGTTTAAAGCATCTTTTTCTCACCATTGACCTCCACACGCTGCCGGCCATACTGCACTCCGGGACAAAGATCCTCTGTGAGGGAGCACTCACTCTGACACAATCCTCCAACTCAGGTGGAGCCGGATACATGTGAGCACAACCAGGAAGTGTAGTATTAAAGTAGAAGTTCCTTCCCCTGTGACTGTGGTGTCATTAGATTATCATCATCATTATCATCATATATCAGTGTATAAACAGCATTTCACTGCTGTAGCTGGTGGAGCTTCTTTAAACTATTATATCTGAAACTGGTCATTATTTTCGGTGTAAATTAATCTGCTGTTTATTTTCTTCATTAATTTGTTGTTTGGTTTGTTAACTCAGAGCCTGACAAATCGTTTTACTTTTATAAGATGTTATTTTAATCTAGAACAAGACATCAAATCTAAAGTATTCATGTGTTTTATATGTAAAAATCTTAATTTATTAAGTAGCCTAAGTGTATTTTCACCACTGTTTAAATGGATCAAAATTAACAATAAAATAATGTTATACATAATTCACTTTTATGATTTGGCATCTTATTCACTGATTGTGTCACTATTACACTTTATAATTTGTTTATTTTTTATCTTATTTTATTTGTTCATTTGAAACTTTAACAAATCGTTTATGTTAAATTCATATTTTACATTAATATGCTTTTTAACGTTTGACTTCAATTTAAAAGACGGTGATTCATCAGAGCGGCGAGAGACGATCTTTGGTGCAAAGAGGAAGTAAGTGACGTCGTGGCGTCAGGGTGACGTCAGCGGAGTGTCAATAGTCCAGGTTGCCAGATTTGAAAATGTTTGTACAGTGTTACAGTACAATGTTGATGTGACCGTCACAGTGAAAGTACACTGTATTTACCTCAACATGACAGTTGACAGTTTTATTAATGTGTTAATGAACTATCCTCTGGACTGTTATTATTTCATCATGAATATTATAAATATTACTTTATTGTGATATTTTAGCTAATAAACTAAATAACTGCTGTAAAATGATTTATTGAAATATTAAACTGTAGATATTTTTCTGATACTTGACTTCATGTCTTTCTTTTTGCAGTTTGCCACAGATGTATTTTAATACATGATCTGCAGTGAACTGTGGCTCTTTATCCTGTAAGAGCTGTATTTTACGAGCAGCACCTGAAGGCAGCATGCTGCTCCCCGCACCGCCTCCCCATCGCTGAGGCGTCAAAATCACCTTCTCCTCTGCAGCTCAGAGCTCCGCGGCGGCCAGGAGGAGAATCAAACCCGGATCAGGATCGCAGTGTCTCGGTCGTGTGTAGACCAGCAGCTGGACCGGAACATGTCGTCCTAGAAGATGTGAACAGATCTGAGACCAGCACAGACCTCCAGTGTGATGCAGCTGTGTGATGGGAGAATCAGCCGAGCAGGATGGGCAACAAGCAGACAACCTTCACGGAGGAGCAGCTGGAGGCGTATCAGGTGACAGTCTGCACCGTTTAAACCGCCAACACGGATTTATCCCGCAAACATCATCATATCAGACAAACATAAGCCTGATGGAGAGAACGTGCTTTTCTTTTATTGGTCAGAGGGATGAAAACAGAGTAGAGTAGAACAGAATAGAACAGAATAGAATAGAACAGAACAGAATAGAGTGGGACAGAGCAGAGTAGAACAGAACAGAACAGTATAGACTAGAATAGAATAGAGTAGAACAGAGCAGAGTAGAATAGAGCAGACATGGCAGAGTCTCTGCTGTTGCTGATTGGCTGAGCTCCAGCCTCCGTCTGCATTCTCCTGGATGTGATGCTGCTGTCCTGCTGACTGATGGTGTGAAAGCAGATCCTCCCTGAGGATCAGCAGCTCTGTGACTCATCAGCAGCTGCACCATCATCTGTTCACCTGTTTGTTTATCTGTGTGTTTGTTTGTTTACAGGACTGTACCTTCTTCACCCGGAAAGAAATCCTGCGGTGAGTTATCAGCACCTCCAACACCACGAGTGGACAGGTGGAGTTAACTGCAAAACTACATCACAGGGAGAATAGAGAACTACATAATTACACCAAAGGAAGTGCAGAGAACTACAGAACTACATCACAGGAAGTACAGAGAACTACAAAATTACATCACAGGGAGGACAGGATCACATGAAGTGACAAATGAAATCATGTCATTACAGATGATCTTCATGTGTCTGAACTGACTCAGTGTTGTAGAGCTGTTTGATGTGACTGAGTCTCTGACAGGAAACTTCAGTCTGAACTGAGTCGTGGAGCTGTTCCCAGCTGACTGATAGACATCTGTCACTAACAGGCTGCAGAGCTTTTAACCTTCTCTCTGCCACTGACCTGAGGACAGTCTGAATCAGAGCTGTGGTGATGTGTTCACTTACACCTGTAGATGCTGAGGTAATGTGACAGCTCAGGGGAAAAGGGAACAACTCTAGATTCTGTGATAACTACTGTTTGAATCCTGTTCTCCTCTCAGCCTCATCCCTGTCTCTCTGTGTCTCCTGGTCTCGGTCCAGACCTGCCGGGTCTCTGGTCTGGTGTACAGTTAAAACTCTCCTCTCTGCTTCTCTGACTGCATTAGATTTATTAATACCCGTGGTTTATAATGAACTCTGCTGCTGCTTCAGGTGATTCTCAGCTGAGGTCAGAGACTGAGACAAACCTGTTAACACCTGAACTCCGAAGATGTTCAACAACCAACCACTGAGTCAGACCTGAACCACATGTTGATCTGATTCAGTGACATCACTTCCTGATCATGTCATCATCTCTGATGTCCCTCCAGAATAAAGCTCCACAGAAAAAGAGTCTGCAGAACTTAGTGATAAGTGATCACTGATAACAGCCGATCACAGCTGCTGTTAGTGAGACAGTCTGACTACAGGAAAAACAGATACGGGCTAAAATCACAGGGCTCAGAGAGAACAGCAGCTCTGACCTGATCAGCTGTTACAGAGTCTTCCTATCGTCATGGTGTGTTCAGGAACAGCTGAACATGAATACGTTGGTGTCAGCCAGTTTCCATCACATCCGTCACATTTCACTCTGAGCTGATAAAAATTGACTGTAAAACACAAGGACGAGGCTCCAGACTGGATTTAAATGAACCAGTTCAGGAACAGGACAGACCGACAGATAGACAGGTTGTTACCATGGTTACCCACCACTAGTAGAGCTGCTGTATTAACCTCCCCTCCTCTATTGCAGGTTACATGGCAGGTATCGTGAGCTGGCTCCTCATCTAGTTCCTCTGGACTACACCAACAACCCCGACATCAGAGTCCCTCTGACGCTCATCGTCACCATGCCTGAGCTGAAGGTAGAGCTGCTGCTGACTGATGACCTGGGAGCTGACTGCTGTTTAACACAGGCAGCGTCAGGTCGTTGAGGTTTGAGTGACTGTTTGTACCATGTGACCAGTAAAACTCCTCCTGTCAAGAGAGTCGTCTGGTTCAGACTGAACTCAGACATCGACACAGACTGACAACTGAACAACGACAGAACCAAGTGTCTCAGTGTAGTTTCCATCAGTGTCCCTCTGTTTCCACTCAGAACCACAGCATTAAACTGGTTTCTGGTTCTGTTTGGGCCTGACAGATCCTGGTCTAATCAGGATCAGATCAGGATCAGACCAGGATCTGATCACAGTGTGATGTCACTTCCTGTGTTGGTTCTGAGGCAGCTGCTCTCTCACCTTCAGGTTCAGCAGTTGAACCTCAGAGCTGCGTTCAGAGTCAATAGCTCTGTGGTAAAATGCTGCGTTGACACTGAGGAGGTGAAGAAAAAATGCTTTTATTTTGTAGCAACTTTGACTTTGGTGACCTTTGATCTTGTTGTCTGATCAGTGCCCAGCCTTTACTGAGCTGTGTACTGAGTGAACAGAACTCAGAGAGTCGTGTGTGTTGATGTTCTGCAGGAGAACCCTTTCAGAGACAGAATCGTGGAGACGTTCTCCGAGGACGGACAGGGGAACCTGAGCTTCAATGACTTTGTCGACATGTTTTCTGCTCTCTGTGAAACTTCACCCCGTGAGCTCAAGACCATCTACGCCTTCAAGATCTACGGTAAGATCTGGCAGGTCCTCGGACCCTCGGAGAAGTCTGGCAGCTGGTTCTGTTCTCAGGGTAACGTTCTGGTTGTGGTTCTGGTCCAGACTTCAACAGGGACAACTTCATCTGTAAGCAGGACCTGGAGAAGACGGTGAACAAGCTGACCAAAGGAGAGCTGAGTCCAGAGGAGGTGACTCTGGTCTGTGATAAAGCCATCGAGGAGGCCGACCTGGACGGAGACAGCAAACTCTCCTTCTCCGACTTCGAGAACATGATCTCCAAGGCTCCGGACTTCCTGAGGTACCGACAGGTTCTCACTCACAGGTTCTGACCTGGGGGGGGGGGGCACTCAGACTGAGAGTCCTGTAATAAACTGTCCTTCATGAAGGTGACACACACCTGTCAGTGTGACACAGCAGTGATGGCCAAGCTTACAAAAGTAATCAGATTACTTTAGTCATTAATCACCAGTAACATACGTCACATTGCTTCTGTGGAAACACAACACACAGCAGCTAGCTTAGCATTAGCTTCAGTGACTGAACACAGCTCTAAAACACAGGTGACTCCTGAACGCACCTGCAGCTGACATCATCACAGGTTACAGTTAAAATGTCTTATTGTGATGATCCACTGAACATCAGTTCAACACACAACAACACAAAAGCACACAGTAACACCATCTGACCAGCTCAGTTCTTACTGGAGCCCTGACTCTGTATTAAACAGGAAGTGTGTGTGTGATTTTATCAACAGGAAGTTGTCACTGATAGAACACAGTAGAGTCACAGAAGCTGTGTCCAGGTTCAGGTCTGAATCCTTCAGCGGACGTGGTCTACGGAGGATTCACGCTGTGTCACCAGCTGTTCTCGGCCTTACCGTTACATCGCAAAGCACGGCTCTGTCACCTAGCAACCTTGACAACATGTTACTTTTTGTTACTAAAACTTTTTGTTTTAAGTCTCTTGGTTTTAACAGATGACCCGTTAGCTGCTAAGCTGAAACACAACACTCACATTTAACAGTGTAATCATCAGACTTTCATTACCAAAGTGCAATGAATCTTGGGATATGTTGATCCTTCGTGGTCCAGGAAATAAAGGACACATTTCTCGGCTGCATTTAAAGGAGCATTTGAAATGAGACAGTCTAGTTGCGCCGCTGTGATGCAGTCGGTCTTCAAACACCACCTCTGAAGGACACGACCCCTGAACCTGGACACATGACAATTAGTGTGGGTAGTGTGAGTGTCATCGTCGTCGTCGTCACTGACAGCAGCTCCTCTCTGATGACCTCATGTCCCTTTTCTTTCTGCAGTAACTTCCACGTTCGAATATGAGTCCCAGCTGAGATCCTGCAGAGGACAGACGTCTCACTTTGACGCCGTTTCCTGATCCTCAGACTCCACCTCCACCTGAACCTCAGACCCATGTCGACTCAGTGCCTGTCCTTATTATCACCTGTGGAGAGTCTCTTCTCTGACTCAAAGTCTGGTCTGGACTCAGTGAAGCACAGACAGACAGCGGAGACGTTTTGGAGGGAAACTTGTTCGTACATGAAACTCTTTGATAAACCTGGATGTTTGAGGTGACTGAAGGCAGGGCTAATTTCTACCAGAGAGCTTCTCTGCAGCTGGTCTGATGTCTCCTCTGGACTCTGATGTCTCTGCTGAGACTCATGGAGACGCTGGGAGGACGGCGCTGCAGACGAACCTGAACAGGGCTTTTCTGACTTCAGTGCTTTGCAGAAAGTCCAGATCCAGGACTGGATTCTTTTTAACAAGCACACATTAAAGGGCAAAACAGTGAAGAGCTATGCAATCTTTCTTCATGACGTGCATGTTGTAAATTGCTTCTTGCTGTGTTTCTTTCTACGTCTGGTGAAACGTTCTGGTGCATAATGACAATCAAAGTAACCTGTAGCTGATGGAAGGGCTCTGTCATCTCACCTGTAAAGTCTGGCTTTGATAAACTTGACTCACTCAACACTGAACTTTTCTCTTGAGAGTCAAATAAAACTTTTTTCTGTTGCTCCAGAAGCTTCTTATGTCAGTGAACTGACCCAGGGTCAGCTCAGGACACCTGTCAACACTGATCCACAGTCTGCAGCTAAAACATCAAATCTAACTGATCGGTTCATAACTGTTCCCACAGAGAAGGTTAATATGATCAATACATTATCAATATATTGTTTTAAACATTGACCACTGGCCTCTCTCTCAGTCACCTCTGTCTGATCCACTGTCAAATAATGACAATCAGACAATATGAAATGAAAAAAAAAAAGTTCAGCTATGATTCATTTTCTTATCAGATCAATTCACTAAAGTTCAAGAGATGATTTACAATTTAATATCTATTAAAAAAGTACTTGTTTTACCAGTAATAATGTAAATACTATAATAGAATTTGAAGCTCCATATTTTCTTCTTCTGTGTTTTATTTGAAGTCTGTGTTTTTATTTGAGCTCTAGTAACAGCAGGTAAGTGAGCCAATCAGAAGAGAGGAGGCTCTGACTCTCAGATTTCAGGTAAAAACACTCAGAGAAACCAAATCCTGCAAGGTTTGGATGGTGGGTCCAGGTGGGCGGGGCTTGGTGACTGCTTTGTTGTGACATCACAAAGTTCCAGAAGTCCTGACGGCTGGTTTTAAGGCTCAGTTTCTGAATACAGGCTGTGTGCATTTCTCTGTGGACTGAGGCTTTGATACTTTCACAGTATTAATATAGAAGCTAGACCTGATCTATAATCACACTACACATGGACACAGACCTTTACACTGGAGGAGCTTTAATGTGTTGTCAGTGTAGAGTAGAGTGTGTGTGTGTGTGTGTGTGTGTGTGTGTGTGTGTGTGTGTGTGTGTGTGTGTGTGAAGGACACAGTGATTGAATGTTTCTGTACATGTATCTGAGTCTGAGTCGCAGGTGAAACAGGTGACGTCTTTACCTCAGTCTGGGTTCAGGTTTCAGCTCGTGTTCAGAGGCCTGTTGAGTTCAGGTGGAGACTGCTCTCTGCAGCACTGAGACACCGTCAGGACGTTCATCCTGATTACTGAGAGCAGCCGACTGTGGTGACCACACTGTGTTCCTGCTGCCGCAGCACCCCCCCCCCCCACTGAACCACACCTGCTGGACCACACCTGCTGTGTCCCCCGGAGGGAGGTGTCACCGCACTCAGAGGGTGAGGAGTAAAGTGGAAGCTTCAGGAAACAGGAAGTGCACAGACACATATATTTATATAGATCTGTATCAGTGAATCATCAGAGTCTGAATATAGAGACATCTTTGATTGACAGGCCAGAGTCAGAGAGGTGAGTCTCTGAATCACAAACATTCACCTGGACTGATCTGATGATCTGATGGTTTCTGGTGTGAGGTGTGCTCCTGTCCCTCAAAGTCTTGTTGTGTTTCCGTGTCTTCAGCAGGTGGATGTGCTTCCTGTCTGTTGTCACCTGCAGTTTCCTCAGGTGAACACGTTGATGACTCTCAACTCCAGTTTCAGTTAATCTGATTTCAAACACTTTCCTCTCTCTGTGTTTATATAAAGACACAGGAAACATGAGAGCTGCTGGACTCAACCAGTCCTCTGTCAACCACCTGTGCTCAGGAGGCTACTGTTCACCCAATCAGCAGGCAGCAATCATTTCAAATGGTCCAATCGCAGGAGACCACCTGCAGCTCATTACAAACTGACAGAGAGAGAGAGAGAGAGAGAGAGAGAGGGAGAAATCTGTCTTTGTGTTGTGTGTGTGTGTGTGTGTGTGTGTGTGTGTGTGTGTGTGTGTGTGTGTGTGTTTGTGTCTGAGGGATGCTCCACCTGGTAAGAGGTTTGTTCTGTGACTCCGCCCTCTGGTGGCAAGAGGTGGGACTGTACCGACTCCAGATTTAACAGCTTCCAGGGTGTGTGTGTGCGGGGTCCGTCAAAAAATAAATGATTAAATAATTAAATCAATGACAAAAATAAACAAACTGATTTTAGAATCGAACTATACAAAATAGAAATAATGAAAGAATCAGACACATCAGCTTTGAATGATTTATAGGTGATATTTGAATAAATGTGTTAACAGATTAACATTAATGTGGAGATCCAGAAGTGAATCATATTGTTTTATTTGCTAAATGTAAATTATATAAATGAACATGATCTATAACATTATATTTATATTGTCTGTCTTTTATTCTGAAGAAGCGTTGAACCTTTTTCTGCTTCTGAAGTGGAAACAGCAGTTATCATTAAATCACAACCAGTCTGTTTAACTGACTGTTTAACTTACTGTTATTGACTGTTTAACTGACTGTTAACTGACTGTTTAACTGTTTAACTTACTGTTATTGACTGTTTAAATTACTGTTATTGAATGTTTACCTACTGTTTAAATGACTGTTTAACTTACTCTTACTGACTGTTTAAATTACTGTTTAACTTACTGTTATTGACTGTTTAACTGTTTAACTGACTGTTAACTGACTGTTTAACTGACTGTTAACTGACTGTTTAACGGACTCCTTCTGTGTCTCCACCACGTCAAGCAGCTCGTCGTGAACTAAACTTACAGTAACATGAATGTGGTGTGTGACGTGTTTTCCGGTCAGACTTTAATAAGACTTTAAGACAAAATCAGTTTGTAATGATATTAATAATGAAACAGTTTATATCATAGACTCTAAATAGATATACATAATATATATATTTATATCTACAGGAACGCTGAGGAACACGTCGGTATATATGCTAAATACCTTTGAGAAGGCTCGGTGGTCACATGGTTCCATGGTGTAATGGTTAGCACTCTGGACTCTGAATCCAGCGATCCGAGTTCAAATCTCGGTGGAACCTGAGTTTTCTGAACTGCTGTGATTGATTTCTTCACTTCATTTCCTTCGTTAAACTTTAAGAAACTGACTAACTGCATCACAAGTTTGTCACTGTTTTTTTTGTCTTTTTACTATATATTATGTTTCACTGATAACATGACAGTAACTGTACCATGGTCAGCTGATCTGTCAGAATGGACTTCTCTTGTAGAGCTGCAGTTCTCTGGACCAGCTCTTCTAGGTGTGATTTTTCTATGAGCTCATGTGATGTAATAAGTTCACTAAGAGCAGGAATGAGCTCAGACTGAACCGTCCTACATTCACACAGAGCCAGGAGCTGTAGACATCTGTAGCCAGGCTCAGTCTGCCAGCACATGGAGAGATGAAGTGACTTTGACTCTTTGTTACAGATGAACTGAGTGAACCACAGAGCGGCTCTGCTGACTTCATCAAACTGTCTCGTCTCATTAATGCTCACATAAATCTTCAGCTTCAGACACTCACAACCTTTTTCTACCACTAGTTTCACTTCATAACAACGTTCGAATCTTCTTGTTCTGACCCCAGTCCTCCAGAGTCCAGTCCAGCCACAGGGCCAGAAGTCAGAGCAGAGCTCCATGCACTGACTTCCAGAGACATGATGTTATGTAACGCAGTGTGGCCCCTGAGAAAAGGCCCCTGAGAAAAAGGCCCTGAGTATCTCAACATGTGTTTCTGAGAAACAGGAAACACTGTGACACTCGTCCTGTTCATCCCTCAGATCTCTTTAATCTAAATCATGAAGCTTCTTCTCTGGTAGAAACACACACACACACACACACACACACACACACACACACACACACACACACACACACACACACACATGGTTGGGTCTTGTCCTTTAAGTCAGAAACCTTTTAATATCATCAGAGTTTCTTGGAGGTTTGAGAAACAGAAACAAACAGGTCAAATAAGGCGAGAGCAGAGAAAGAGCATCTGGGGGTGGGGTAGGGGGATGGTTGGGGGGCAGAGGTATCATTTGGAGGGGTGGTGGTGGTGTAATAAATTAAAGTGGTCTGTGGGGATTTGTGCTTCTTGTTGAGTGAGAGTGAGAATTAAACTCAGTGACTCAGTGACATGGCCAGCTGGTATCCCACAGAGCTTTGAACAATGTGAGTTATTTCCATCAGTTGGCTGAGAGCAGCTGCCGGGGTGGGGGGCGGCGGGGGGAGTGGGGGGTCCAAGCCGCTGCACACACCACATATTTTAATCAGGGGGAACATTTGGACTCGTCCTCCTGGTCCCGGTGGAAATGAGCCGGATTTCCTCAGCTGCTGCTCTGCCAGAGTCTACGCTCACACACCACTTCACACTGTGTGTCCTCCAGCTCTCTGCTGGACCAGGTCTGCAGGCTCCTGCTGCTGGTCGGTCAGTTTGTCCTGAGATGAACCTGATGGTCTCTGGTCTCTGGTCTGGTCTCTGGTCTCTGGTCTCTGGTCTCTGGTCTGGTCTCTGGTCTGGTCTCTGGTCTCTGGTCTCTGGTCTCTGGTCTCTGGTCTCTGGTCTCTGGTCTCTGATCTCTTGTCTGGTCTCTGGTCTGATCTCTTCTTTGGTCTCTGATCTCTGATCTCTGAGCTCTGGTCTGGTCTGGTCTCTGGTCTCTGGTCTCTGGTCTCTGATCTCTTGTCTGGTCTCTGGTCTGATCTCTTCTTTGGTCTCTGATCTCTGATCTCTGAGCTCTGGTCTGGTCTGGTCTCTGGTCTCTGGTCTCTGGTCTCTGGTCTCTGATCTCTTCTCTGGTCTCTGGCCTCTGGTCTCTGGTCTCTGATCTCTTCTCTGGTCTCTGGCCTCTGGTCTCTGGTCTCTGATCTCTTCTCTGGTCTCTGGCCTCTGGTCTCTGGTCTCTGATCTCTTCTCTGGTCTCTGGCCTCTGGTCTCTGGTCTCTGATCTCTTCTCTGGTCTCTGGCCTCTGGTCTCTGGTCTCTGATCTCTTCTCTGGTCTCTGGCCTCTGGTCTCTGGTCTCTGATCTCTTCTCTGGTCTCTGGCCTCTGGTCTCTGGTCTCTGATCTCTTCTCTGGTCTCTGGCCTCTGGTCTCTGGTCTCTGATCTCTTCTCTGGTCTCTGGCCTCTGGTCTCTGGTCTCTGATCTCTTCTCTGGTCTCTGGCCTCTGGTCTCTGGTCTCTGATCTCTTCTCTGGTCTCTGGCCTCTGGTCTCTGGTCTCTGATCTCTTCTCTGGTCTCTGGCCTCTGGTCTCTGGTCTCTGATCTCTTCTCTGGTCTCTGGCCTCTGGTCTCTGGTCTCTGATCTCTTCTCTGGTCTCTGGCCTCTGGTCTCTGGTCTCTGATCTCTTCTCTGGTCTCTGGCCTCTGGTCTCTGGTCTCTGATCTCTTCTCTGGTCTCTGGCCTCTGGTCTCTGGTCTCTGATCTCTTCTCTGGTCTCTGGCCTCTGGTCTCTGGTCTCTGATCTCTTCTCTGGTCTCTGGCCTCTGGTCTCTGGTCTCTGATCTCTTCTCTGGTCTCTGGCCTCTGGTCTCTGGTCTCTGATCTCTTCTCTGGTCTCTGGCCTCTGGTCTCTGGTCTCTGATCTCTTCTCTGGTCTCTGGCCTCTGGTCTCTGGTCTCTGATCTCTTCTCTGGTCTCTGGCCTCTGGTCTCTGGTCTCTGATCTCTTCTCTGGTCTCTGGCCTCTGGTCTCTGGTCTCTGATCTCTTCTCTGGTCTCTGGCCTCTGGTCTCTGGTCTCTGATCTCTTCTCTGGTCTCTGGCCTCTGGTCTCTGGTCTCTGATCTCTTCTCTGGTCTCTGGCCTCTGGTCTCTGGTCTCTGATCTCTTCTCTGGTCTCTGGCCTCTGGTCTCTGGTCTCTGATCTCTTCTCTGGTCTCTGGCCTCTGGTCTCTGGTCTCTGATCTCTTCTCTGGTCTCTGGCCTCTGGTCTCTGGTCTCTGATCTCTTCTCTGGTCTCTGGCCTCTGGTCTCTGGTCTCTGATCTCTTCTCTGGTCTCTGGCCTCTGGTCTCTGGTCTCTGATCTCTTCTCTGGTCTCTGGCCTCTGGTCTCTGGTCTCTGATCTCTTCTCTGGTCTCTGGCCTCTGGTCTCTGGTCTCTGATCTCTTCTCTGGTCTCTGGCCTCTGGTCTCTGGTCTCTGATCTCTTCTCTGGTCTCTGGCCTCTGGTCTCTGGTCTCTGATCTCTTCTCTGGTCTCTGGCCTCTGGTCTCTGGTCTCTGATCTCTTCTCTGGTCTCTGGCCTCTGGTCTCTGGTCTCTGATCTCTTCTCTGGTCTCTGGCCTCTGGTCTCTGGTCTCTGATCTCTTCTCTGGTCTCTGGTCTCTGGTCTCTTCTCTGGTCTCTGGTGTCTGGTCTCTGGTCTGATCTCTTGTCTGGTCTCTGGCCTCTGGTCTTTGGTCTGATCTCGTCTGGTCTCTGGTCTGATCTCGTCTGGTCTCTGGTCTGATCTCTTGTCTGGTCTCTTGTCTCTGATCTGATCTCTTGTCTGGTCTCTGGGCTCTGGTCTCTGGTCTCTGCTCTCTGGTCTCTGATCTCGTCTCTGATCTCTGGTCTCTGGTCTCTGCTCTCTGGTCTCTGATCTCGTCTCTGATCTCTGGTCTCTGGTCTCTGCTCTCTGGTCTCTGATCTCGTCTCTGATCTCTGGTCTCTGGTCTCTGCTCTCTGGTCTCTGATCTCGTCTCTGATCTCTGGTCTCTGGTCTCTGCTCTCTGGTCTCTGATCTCGTCTCTGATCTCTGGTCTCTGGTCTCTGCTCTCTGGTCTCTGATCTCGTCTCTGATCTCTGGTCTCTGGTCTCTGCTCTCTGGTCTCTGATCTCGTCTCTGATCTCTGGTCTCTGGTCTCTGCTCTCTGGTCTCTGATCTCGTCTCTGATCTCTGGTCTCTGGTCTCTGCTCTCTGGTCTCTGATCTCGTCTCTGATCTCTGGTCTCTGGTCTCTGCTCTCTGGTCTCTGATCTCGTCTCTGATCTCTGGTCTCTGGTCTCTGCTCTCTGGTCTCTGATCTCGTCTCTGATCTCTGGTCTCTGGTCTCTGATCTCTGCTCTCTGGTCTCTGATCTCTGATCTCATCTCTGGTCTCTGCTCTGATCTCTTGTCTGGTCTCTGGTCTCTGGTCTCTGATCTCTGCTCTCTGGTCTCTGATCTCTGATCTCGTCTCTGGTCTCTGATCCGATCTCTTGTCTGGTCTCTGGTCTCTGGTCTCTGATCTCTGCTCTCTGGTCTCTGATCTCTGATCTCGTCTCTGGTCTCTGATCCGATCTCTTGTCTGGTCTCTGGTCTCTGGTCTCTGATCTCTGCTCTCTGGTCTCTGATCTCTGATCTCGTCTCTGGTCTCTGATCCGATCTCTTGTCTGGTCTCTGGTCTCTGGTCTCTGATCTCTGCTCTCTGGTCTCTGATCTCTGATCTCGTCTCTGGTCTCTGATCCGATCTCTTGTCTGGTCTCTGGTCTCTGGTCTCTGATCTCTGCTCTCTGGTCTCTGATCTCTGATCTCGTCTCTGGTCTCTGATCCGATCTCTTGTCTGGTCTCTGGTCTCTGGTCTCTGATCTCTGCTCTCTGGTCTCTGATCTCTGATCTCGTCTCTGGTCTCTGATCCGATCTCTTGTCTGGTCTCTGGTCTCTGGTCTCTGATCTCTGCTCTCTGGTCTCTGATCTCTGATCTCGTCTCTGGTCTCTGATCCGATCTCTTGTCTGGTCTCTGGTCTCTGGTCTCTGATCTCTGCTCTCTGGTCTCTGATCTCTGATCTCGTCTCTGGTCTCTGATCCGATCTCTTGTCTGGTCTCTGGTCTCTGGTCTCTGATCTCTGCTCTCTGGTCTCTGATCTCTGATCTCGTCTCTGGTCTCTGATCCGATCTCTTGTCTGGTCTCTGGTCTCTGGTCTCTCTGAGGACAGAGACGGCTGAAGAGAAGGAAACACTGAGTGGAGGGAAACTGGACGTGAAGACGTTTCACCTGTAATCCACTTCTGACTGAGGACACTTTGGTATTTAACCTCTGTGGGCTCGTTATCAAGGTGTATCACCTGGTTTGTTAGTGCTCCTGGTTGTTGTGACAGTCATTAAAATCATTGGAGTCACCTGAGGACAGGTGTGGATGGTTGTTAACTCTGCTGTGAAGGGATGAAAGGTCAGTGTTGTAGGTGAAGGATTAGAGGTGTAGTGGTTTCATGGCCACCTGCTTGTCCCTGATCCTCCAGGTGGAGGTGAACTCACCTGAGGAGCTGTTTGTTTAGTGTGACTGAAGTTTAAAGCTCCATATTTTCCTTTTCTTCTGTGTTTTATTTGAAGTGTTTATCCATAAGAAGATACAAAAAACAATTTCAGTGTAGTTTTACATCTGTTCTCCCAGGCTTCAGGTCGGTGAGCCAATCAGAAGAGAGGAGGCTCTGAGCCTCTCTTCTGATTGGCTGACTGTTTTCTGAGTGATCCAATAAAAATAAAGCAGATTTCAGGTAAAAACACTCAGAGAAACCAAATCCAGCAAGGTTGATCCAGGTGGGCGGGGCTTGGTGACTGCTTTGTTGTGACATCACAAAGTTCCAGAAGTCCTGACGGCTGGTTTTAAGGCTCAGTTTCTGAATACAGGCTGTGTGCATTTCTCTGTGGACTGAGGCTTTGATACTTTCACAGTATTAATATAGAAGCTAGAGCTGATCTATAATCACACTACACATGGACACAGACCTTTACACTGGAGGAGCTTTAAGGTCTGTGTCAGACCTGAAGAGGACTCTAGGATCAGGTCTTCAGCTCCAGTCTCTGACAGTGAACTCCAGCTCTTTGAATGTTGGTCAGAAAAACTAAAACTAGAAAAGAGAGTTTAACAAAGTGAAGAGATGGATCATTAAACAGAATCACTGTCAGATGTGATGTTGGTCTGACTGAAGTTTCCTGTTCGTCTCATCAAACAACAAATTAGCAATAAGTTTAAGAACCAGATGTTGACTCAGAGTCCCAAGACCAGGATCCCAACCACCCACCCACCCCCTCCTCCACAAACACCAGAGACAGCATCTGAAAAAGTCGAGTTTATTTCTATCAAAGTTTGAACCAAGTGAACTTTTTACATCATGTTTCTGTTTTTGTTTATTTTACAATTTTTATACAAAATTCACAGTTGAAGTGGTAAAAGAGAAGACGTCATAAATAATTTGATTCAAAAACAAAAACAAAGTGGGCTGAAAAACAAAATAAAGTTTTTGGAGTTTCCACAGACGTCAGAAACACAACACACTGAGCATGTGCACAGATCTGTTCACTAACACTCACATCCTGACATCATTGGTTGTTTAAGACTTGTATCTATAACAACAACAACAACAATGAGGCCGGTTCCGTCAATGTGTCCGAATTTAGTTGTAAAGTTTTTGCTGCTACCCATTTATTGATTTTCTATATTTCATAATAAAAACTGAAGAAAAAACAACATGAGACTAGAAACAGTTTCATGTCCAGAAACTCATAAGAAATTGACTTTGTGATTTTCAGTTTTGTCCTGTGGAGAAACGTGACGGAGAAACTTCACTTTCACGGTGATGGTGATCAGAAACAACCAGAGACAAAAAAAAAAATCAGTCTGGTTCCGATTTAAAAAGTTTTTTTAAGATGAATTTAGTTTTGATATCGTGAAAAGTGAGAGTTCAGATCTGATTCAATAATAATAATAATAATAATAAATTAATATTAATATTCAGTGATGGAGCTCCTGAGAGAAAAAGGACGACAAAGTTTCCACTGAGACATGATTGGCATGTGACTGATGTGACTGTTCACACCTGAAGACATCTTTTATCTAAACTGTAGAAGGAAGGAAGACGGAGGAGAGAAACATGTGACTTATGTTTCACTGGAATTATCAACTAGTTTGTTTCAGCTGTTCTTGTTGTTGTTTGTTGTAATAATAACACAGATTATATAGATGTCATTCATCATCAGGGTCGCGAGTTTATTTATTGTTTAGTATTTGGAATTATTCTACACTTCTGTGCTTTTATTGTGAAACTGACATGTCCAAACAGGAAGTCTGATATATGTATACTGATAATGATGTTGATATATTTTGGTTCTGTATAAAACAAAGACGTGTCAGACTGAATGTGAACCTTTGTTTTGAAATCAGCATCCACTTCCTGTGATGCAGGAAACAAACAGTTAAGAATGTGTAAAGAAGATTATGATGTCATCTAAACGAGACACAGAGGTGTAGAAATGTCATGTCACAGCAGCTCGTTTCACCGAGCACGCTTGTTTCAGGGCTGAATGTGTCGACTGAGTCTGAGATGACCCTAACTCCAGGCATAAAATCTGCTCACGCTGAAGCTATGAATCATTTTCCTGTCTGTGTGTAACAGAGGTCAAAGGTCAGAGGTCAGAAACGAGCTGCTGTGGCGTTGGTGGATCAGCTGATCCATGGTGTTTGTGTGTGTGTGTGTGATAAAGGCACATGACGTCAGTGCGACTGTCGGTGTTTGTACAGTAAAGTGTTCTCTGATCACCCTGTGGCTGCATCCCTACCTCTACCAGACCCCACCCACTGACCCCGCCCACTGATCCCCAGGAGTGTCCCCGTCCACAGGGGGCGTCACACAGACATCACTATGATCCCTTCAACAGTTAGACAGTTACAGCTCTATGAGTGTTACAGGAGTGGTCCTCTATTGCGGCAGCAGAAAACCATCACGTTTCTATGGCAACTTCAGCTTCTCCTTGTCGTTGTTGTTGTTGTTGTTGTTGTTGTTGTGGAGGCCGAGGCTCAGCTCGAAGCTGCTCTGCTTCCTCAGAGCCCGTGGCATCAGCTTCTTCTTCACGAACAGTCTCTGGAGGAAGCGGTTGCTGAGGCTGAAGGGACAGTAGCTGTGGATGAAGTACATGAGGCCCACTCCTGGCCCTGCCAGGTACCGCGCCCGCGGCCGGGGGGACAGCAGCGCCTGCTCGATGGCGTCGATGACGGGGCTGAGGTCGGGGTTGGCGTGCTGGGCGTGGCTCTGGAACAGCTCCTTGGTCTCGTTTACGTAGTCCTCACCGTACTCCTCAAGCAGCCCCGGAGACAGACTCTGCAGCAGCTGCTTGTGCTGCTGCTCCCAGTAGGTGTGGTTACTGCTCTGACCTGAGGAGACAGGAGAGCCACGTTACCATGGCAACCACACGTACACTAAGAAAACCACAGGGGGGTTCAGGTTGTGAGGTGACCACAAACTCATCATGGTTGTTCCATCAATATTATTAGTATTATCAATATCTAATATATTACCAATATCATCAATATTATCGATATTATCAGTATCATCAATGCTGTCAATATCATCAATATTATCAATATCATCAATATTACCAATATTATCAATATCATCAATGTTATCAATATCATCAATATTATCAATATCATCAGTATTACCAATATTATTGATATTGCATTTCTTTGTGGACTGAGACTTTGATTGAGCTTCAGGTCGAAGTGTTTAACATGTAAATAAAAGTCATTTTGTCTGGATCTTTACTTGTTTTCTTGAGAAAATAAAACATGAAAAATAAAAAATATAAAAAAAAATATGAACATTGTTTAAAAAATAAATTAGATGTTTAATTCATAAAGATGTGAGACAGATTTAAAACTGGTACTATAAATAAAGATGGCCGACGCCTCTGTCACGTAACCCTGAAGCTCAGAGTGAGATGTCCACCATCGCCATCTTGGCAGTGCCTGACCCCGCCCCCTAACTCTCATCGAATCCAAATATGGTCAAAGAGGAGGGGCTTATGTGGAGCTGAGACTTTGGTGGCAAGCATACACTCCCCCACCTGTCACTCAAAGAGGCCACACCCTCAATCCTTCATAACTTCAGTCCTTAATATAATGTAATCAGGTGAGTTATATAAACAGGTGTCATGAAGGAGGAAATCAGCTCTAGAGACCAAAACAGTTTCTGTACCAGGCTGTAAACATGTTGATTTCTGCTGTAAAGTTGGACATTTTAACATGGGAGTCTATGGGGACTGACTCACTGTTGGAGCCAGACTCTAGTGGCCATTAGAGGAACTGCAGCTTTCAGCCTCACAGGTTGATACTTGTTTAAAACAGAATGTTTTGTAGTCCACAAACACTGAATCCTACATTTCCCATGATGCATCTGGATAGTGTCTTTGATTAGAGCCTCCCAGCCTCACACTTGCAGTTTACATGTATTCATCTGTCAGACAGTGAGCTTCATCACTGAAGTGTCAGCAGAGAGCTGGAGTCAGGACTGAGTCCTACATGTACTGTAACACAGACTAGACTCAGACTGTCTCTACATCACTTTAATGTGTCACAGGTTTAAAGGGAGAAACATGCTGAATCACACTAATATAAACTGACATTGTGTCGGAGAGAAGCAGCTGATCACAGTCCGTTTGACTGTTGAACTGAAGTCAGATCAATGTCTGGATAAAGTTTATCAGTAGCTCTAATGATGGAGGATTAAAGCTGCTGATGCAGGATTAGACTGTGAACAGGAGGATAAAATGTGCTGTTTACGCCTCACTGCTGCGTCCAATCAGAGAGCAGCGCTGAAGGACGGAACATGAACACCAGCAGACGCAGCAGATTTTACCTTTGTGTTCACATGAATCCTTTCACTTGATTTTATTCTTTAATGGATGTTTTTATTTTTCAGCTCATAGTTTCATGAATCTGAGGCTCATGTTTCATGGCCCGACTGAACCAGAACCAGAACCAGGCAGCCAGCAGCCAATCAGACAGCAGTGTGGGTGGTACCTGTCTTGTAGGAGGACGGCAGGATGGTGGAGACTCCAACCCCCCAGGGCTCAAGCTCGTGTCTCAGGGTGTTGATGAAGAGGTTGAGGGCGGCTTTAGACGCTCCATACGCCGCCAGACAAGGAAACGGCTGGTCACCTGCACACAGTGACAACACGGTCATGACATCATACACAGACCGCCCAATCACCTCTGTGAGTCAGTTCAGGTTCAGGTCTGTGGGTTCGGGTCTGACTCAGCTAGGACTCAAGCCTAGAACCTTCTTACTGTGGCCACTGTACCTTTAATATAAATGAGTTGGTTTTTATACTAGTTCAGACCAGTTCAGACCAGTTCAGACCAGTTCAGACCAGTTATTCAGTTCTAAAGTTCTGAGTTAATTTGTTTATTTTGTTATTCATTTGTTGTTATTAGTTTCATAAAGTCTGGTGTGTTTGTTTGTTGGTTGTTCTAATGAATCTAACGAGCAGAGGAGCTGAAATCTGCTGAGCACATTCATTCTGTCGAGGGGGGGGGGGGGGGGGTGATTGATTGGTTGCTCTCTGATGTTCTGGACTCAGTGGAGCAGCAGCAGCTCTGTTTGTTTGGTTTGGCTCTTTGAAGGCAGCAGCTTCATCTGTGGTTCAGTGGAACATTCAATTAAGATTTATTACAACATCAGAGTGTGTGTGTGTGTGTGTGTGTGTGTGTGTGTGTGTGTGTGTGTACCGGCAGGGCTGGAGATGGTGACCAGTCGTCCTCTGGTCTGACGCAGCAGAGGCAGGAAGCTTTTGGTGACGCTCAGAGTGCCGAAGAAGTTTACCTCCATGCAGCCGCGGAAGTTCGACATGAGAGACAACTCAGCGTCTCCGAAGTTCACACACACTCCAGCGTTGTTTACCAAACCCCACAGACCTGAAACACACACACACACAGATTAGATGGTGTGTTTACAGCCGACCTCGTTGGTTCAGAGTCTGAACATGAAGCTGAACATGTTGATTATAGATATTTACACCCCCCCCCATTCCCCCCCATCCCCCCCGGCGCGCGAATCATCACAGGACCATCACAGACCCCTCAGAACGCATCACAAGACCCCTCAGACCATCACAGACCATCACAGACCTATCACAAGACCATCACAGACCAATCACAGACCCCCTCAGACCATCACCCGACCCCTCAGACCATCACAGGACCATCACAGACCCCGTCAGACCATCACAGACCCCTCAGACCATCAAAGACCCCTCAGACATCACAGACAGAATCACAGACCATCACAGACCGATCACAGACCCCTCAGACCATCACAGACATCACCCAGACCAGACCATACCAAGACGATCACAGACATCACAGACCATCACAGACCATCACAGACCATCACAGACCCTCAGAATCAGAGACCATCACAGACCATCACAGACCATCACAGACCATCACAGACCCCTCAGACCATCACAGACATACAGACCATCAGACATCACAGTACCATCACAGACCATCACAGACCATCACAGACCCCTCAGACCATCACAGACCATCACAGACCATCACAGCATCACGACCTCAAGACCATCACAGACCCCTCAGAAATTCACAGACTTCAACGACATACAGACCATCACAGACCATCACGCCCCCATTCACTCACAACAGACCATCACAGACCCCTCAGACCATCACAGACCCTCAGACCATCACAGAACCATCACAGACCCCTCAGACCATCACAGACCCTCACAGACCATCACAGACCCCTCAGACCATCACAAGACCCTCAGACCATCACAGTACTCAGAGACAGCCATCACAGAATCACAGACATCACAGACCCCTCAGACCATCACAGAATACAGACCTCAACAGACCCTCAGACCATCACAGACCCTCAGACACAGACCATCAAGACCATCAGACCAGACATCACCCCTCAGACCATCACAGACAACCATCACAGACCATCACAGACCCTCAGACCATCACAGACCATCACAGACCCCTCAGACCATCACAGACCACAGACATATCACAGGACCATCACAGAAATAATTACCTCACAGAATTGACTCAACAGTGACCGATTCACATAATAGCACAATTTCTCATAGCATATGAGAGACACCCCACTACCCATGAACCAGTTCAACTAGACTTCGATCAACATAGAATTTACATACTATGACTCTCCATCACTGATCCAATCACTCACTCAGACTCTATTAAGGAAATCTCGAAGGTCACGTCAGTAACTCCTATGCAGAACAAGACGAAATCACGAACTCCAGGCAAACTAGAACACAATCGACACATAGTAAGAGAAGTAATATGCAAAAGATACCTAATTTGCAAAACATGATTCCCAATTCATATCCGAATGGGTTTTCATACAGATCACAACTTGCAAGATCTTATATGGGAAGACAACAAGACCAATCGTCGTTCAAAAAACATAGATTATAGATAGACCTATCGAGATAATAGATATATCAGATTCTCGCATCATTGGACTCACGCTAGAAATCCACTAATAATCATAAAATAGAGTTCCCATGACCCCTCAGAACCTGAAAGACAAATTAACAAGACCCTCACAGACCCCTCAGACCATCACAGACATCACAGACATCACGACATTCACAGAACCCTCAGACCATACAGAACCATCACGCCATCACAGACCATCAAGTACCCCCTCAGAGCATCAAGATCCATCACAGACCCCTCAGACCATCACAGACCATCACAGACATCACAGACCTCAGAGACATCACAGACATCACAGATCCATCAAGCAGTACCCCTCAGACAGTGACAGTTGTTTCTTTGTTTAAAGGTCACAGGTGATTTCACACAGTCAGACGTGATGTTGGGT